TGACAGCAGTAGATAGATTACAGCAATAGATAGATTGACAGCAGCAGTAGATTCATTAAATTAATAGTGATAAATAGAGGATTTAATGATGAGTTATCAGAGTATTGAGTATTAAGTAAGATAGAAGAATATAATTCATCAATTATATTATCAAATTGATGTATTATATAATTATTAAAATGAAATTAAACTTGAATTAAAATTATAATCAGTCTCAGATTATATTCTTATTTTAATAGTCAGTTACTTTATATGAAATATCAAAATTTCTTAGTTTTATTTTATTTATATTTTGATAATTCTAATCACTTTACACTTTTATTCTGAATCTGATCTCATTAAAATCACATCAAGAAATGAACTGAGATTAAATCAAATCAAATCAAATATAAAATTCATGATCTCAGCAGTCAGTCTAAGTCAGTCAATGAAGAAAATAAATATTGATAATAGTATAATTAATAATTCAGTACAGAATTGTCAATCAGATGCAATTAATAAGTATATAAATTTTATAGAAAGCTTTATACTGATTTGCTAGATCAATTTCATTTATATTATAATTATAATCATCAATAATAGTAGAAATTTCCACTGCTTTTTATCAATTATCTTTAAATATTTTTTGAATTTGAGATTTATTAGTAGAGATTTTTTCTGAGTACTTTCTAATATATTCAACAAAGCTGTCTGATAGATGAATTGTAGATAGTAGTAATACTATATTATTATTTTTTTATTCAAGACAGAGAATTTTATTTTGAGAAATGATATATAAAGTATTGAAGAGAATATAAACAGATAATTCAGAGTTCTTCAGTTTTTATAGAAGAGATAATAGATTGACAGAATAAATGATTCTACAGATTTCAATTTCTTACTTTTGAAAATAATAAAATAGAGTAATAGAAATAAAGTAGTTGTTTATATAAATTGAGTAGTCAGCTATCTCTTTACTGTTATTCAATTTTATATACTGCTCAGTACTCTGCTGCTTGATACTCTGCTGCTCAATACTCTGCTGCTCAATACTCTGCTATTTAGTACTCTACTATTTAATACTCTACTGTTTAATACTCTATTATTCAGAACTCTGTAAGAATACTGACAGCTGTTTAATTAATTTTATTATAAGACATTCAATTTTGATTAATTCTGAAGTACAAAACATTGTATTTATACAGAGATTATTATAAAATATGAAAAAGATTCAAAAATAGCTCTGTTTTTTTAGATTAAAAATCTTATATCTCTGTTTAATTGATTTCTGAGATATTTTAACTATATATTTGAATTGTTCAAAAAATTGAATTATCATCTCATCAATAAAAAAATTTGAATCTGAATTGTAGTATTTTTGATATACTATATAAAAGTTGAAGTATAAAGACTCTAGCTTCTATATAAAGAAGAAGAAAAATTTCAGTTTATAAGAATTAGATATATAAATATATCTTTTAAATTATTTAAATTGTTTTTATTTTATATAAAATCTTAATAGATGAACTGATTTCTGAGTATTATTTCTATTTCAATAATCTTCAATTACTGAAGATCTATATACTCTTATATAGATAATATACTCAAGAAATACTTTGATTTCAGTAGAAATAGTTGACTGTCAATTCTGTGAATTAATAGCTGAATTCTTTGATATTTGTATCTCTGTATAGATATTGATGAAACAGACAATATTCTGAATATTAAACTCTGAAATATAGAGAGAGAAAAGAGTATATAAATTTTATAAATCAATATTATTGAGCAGATTGATAGCTGAAGAGTGATGAAGAGATCTTATAGATTTAAATTTAATACTCTTTAGAGATGAAATATCTGCTAGAAGTATACTGACAGATTACTTTTATTTTATATCTATTTTTATACTATCTTAAAAAAAATTAATTAATCTAATTAAAAGAAGTATTAAGAAATTGAAAATCATCTGTAGAAGTTATATTTTTTTCTTGAAGTAAAGTAATCAAAGTAATAAAAAGATTATAAATATAAATGAATCAAGTAAAATGAGAAGATTTCAAATAAATTACTAAGATAGTGGATCTTATATCAATAAATCAGATTATATAGAATTTAGTATAAAGAATTATTGATTGATACATCAGAACTAACAGCTTAGTTGTTATATTAATTATATTACACTAATTATATTCTCACAGTCAGATAAAAGAATAAATCAATTAAGAAAGAAAAGAGAAAAAAAATCAGAAAAAAGAATTATATAAGAGAATTTTTATAGAAAAAAGATTAGAATAGAAGAATATTAAAGATTATATAAAGTAATCATTAGAGACTATATAAGTATGAAGTGAAATTATGAGAAGAGAGGTATTTTATAAGTATGTAAAAGTATATAAAAGAGTGAACAGACAATAGAAGATTGATTGTATAAATTAACTATTAATAAATATTAATCTATTATATAAGTGTAATTTATCATTCTCTTTTACTTGTAAAAGAGTATATTTAATAGCTTATTTTAATATATTTATTTTAATTATAAAAACTTTCATATAATTCAGTTGAATAAACACTGAAGATATTATTATACACTTTTTTAATTTCAGAAAAATCTCTTAATAGAAAATATTTCAAATAATTAAATAAAATTTCCTGCTGTAGTTTTTTAAAATATATTTATAATAGAAAGTATATATTATAATTTATTGATTTTATATTCTCTGTATTAATCTTATAAACAAATTTTTTTTCAGTGACAGAGAAGATAAAAGATTTATTCAGAATTTTTTTTTTATACTTTTCAGATAATATTTTTATATAATTTTTATTTTTAAAATTTTGACAGTTCTTCTATTTTAAATTTTCATATAATATATAAAATACTCTGAATCAAGAGTTTATATAGTACTTGTTTTACTTAATATTAAATAATAAAATTCAAATCTTTTATTTTCAATATATAGAATCTATATCTTATATTTATAAGTAAGATTATATAAATTTAATTTTTATAATTTATTAATTATATATAATATATATATCAATGAATTCTGAGATTATACTTCTAAAATTAATTAAATTTTAAAATCAGATTGTATTCTATATTCAGAAGTATATATATTCAGATACAGTATAATGATTTTTTAAAATATAAAAGTATTTTTACTCTCACAGATGAGATAAGATATTGATTATTTAAAAACTTTATTTATTTAGAATTCTTTATTTATTATATATCTGACAATTATTTTAGTATATAATTATCAATATATTTTATTGAAATACTTATATTCAATAACATTTTCACTATTATTTCTCCTTTTCATTTCAAATATTTTTTATATATTAAAATATACAGTTCTACAATATCAGATATTCATTTACTTCATTTATATTTATCTTTTTATCTTTATTTTATTTAGTTTTTCTAGAATTCAAAGAGTTATCTAGTATAAATAGATTATTTATTTCAGAGATCTTTAATAATTGATCAATAAACATCTTCAGCTTTGTTGATTTATCTAGTTTTTTAACTTTTTATTCTATAATAATTTCTATAATTTTATATATTACAATTCTGTTAACTGCAGTAAAAGTATATTCTATACTTATAATATTATATTATTTACTCTGATAAGTTTTTCTTAAGAGAGTTCACAACTTTTACAATAGTATTGAGATTGATATTTATTATATCTGAATATTTTAATAATAATACTGTGAGTGTAGATGTGAATCTGTTTGTATTCATCAATATTCTTATTATTCTTTTTCACAGTTTATTTGTTTACTTTTTTATAAATAGAATCATAAAGCAGCTGTTGAATCAATCAATCTTTTGAAAATATTGGGTTGACAAGTAGCATATATACATATATGGGGAATAACTTATTTTCGATCCTTATATTATCGTACCCAAATGCTCTACGATCGTCTTCATAATGTTGCTGACGAGATGAAGGTCTACGACTCCCTTCTGCCATGAAAATGTCAGCACTAGACATCCATCACCACCAGTAATCGCGGACACCTCAAAGGCGCTCCCTGTTACATTTGCACTCTGCGAAAAGACCATCCTGCCAACTAGTGGCTTCTGTGAACCGACCGTTGCTTCTAGATTAGACCCGAATACACCCAAGTTCGAGACTTCGTAGCTATCAGCCCTATTCTTGCCTATCTTAGACAGGAATAGTTCACTGTGGTAATCGCCGACATATTTTAATAGATTTGATATTGCGTTTTTTCCCTGCATATTTATTGTGTCCTCAATTGTTTTCCTGGACCTGACGGCTTCGTCCCATGGAAACTTGAAATTTCCGGACTGGTCAAAAAATCCTTCTCGACGATACGAGTCTTGGAAAGCCTGCACAAACACTCCCATGGAGTCATCACAGATCCGGCATCCGAGCCATCGCCGATTTGAAAGCGCGCCAACACATCGGAGCTGTGTGTAATGCGCAGAGAGGTTTACGAACAGAGCACCAGCAACCAAAGTGTGTAGAGCTGCCGTTATAGTAGTTTTATTTTTGCGACAGAGGTCCCTGAAGGAAGTAGTCTCAGATTCAGAAAGGACAAGATGGCGTATTTCACTCTGTAGGGGCATGGTGATCTTTGAACCAGTCCATAGGCAGGGATCCTGCTTGTTCCAGATTTTCTCCTTGAATAGTATCGAAAACAAGAACGGAATCGAAACCGGTATCGGGTGGAGCGCCTCTAAGCTAGGCAATAGGGGAATATTCGGCGCTGTAATAGTACTCTCTACTTCAGAAGAGGAGGGGGAAGAAGATAGCGCGAGATGTAAGGCGTGCAGGAAGGTTTTATGGAAGGCCATTCCAGAAGTGCCGTCTCCAATGGCGTGATGAAAGATGAAGGAAGCAGTGAACAAATGTGGATGATTGGGATCCGTTAAGATATAGAGTCTCCAAAATGGAGAAGGAAAGGAAAATGGCATATTATGTTGGATATTCAGAAGCTCTTCTAAGTCCATATCTGGGTTAGGACAGAGGGGACTATTGGAACCATGGCTGCCACGCTGTCTGTCTTTAAATAAAACAGAATTGTCCAAATTAATCGTGGGAACGCGGATGAAATGGGGTTCATCCGTGTCTTCACCCACGGGTATGGCAGAGAGAATAGGATGTTGGCCGATAAGTATTTTGCATGCTTTATATATGTAGTTCTTCAATGGTTGTGAGCATCGCGGCAGTGTGTATGTTGCTGTTACTGCGACGTTGATATAAAAACCAAGGTGATGTCGTGCACTTGAGTAGCGTTCCAGTAGTCCTGGAGCAAATCAAATTAGCATGTTTTTGACAATATGCTTCCAGCATATTAAAATTCTCTTTTACTTACCAACCGGCCGCAACTTCTCAAGTCTCGTAACAGCACAGTCTTCAGTCTGAAACGCCATCTCCATCTAAAGAATGAACTCGTGGTCATGACGGAAAATCGTACGAGAAATCGATAATGAAATGCTGACGACGCTAGAGCATATCAAGATTTCGGGGAAACGTTGAACCGGGTTTGGGGAGCGCATGAATCAAGCAGATACAAAACAGTTTTGCCTGGGTGGCTCATCATCAATCATCAACAAAAAATCCACTCGGCCTGTGTTGATTGGGACACAAAGTTCCAAGAACCTCTCGAGGTGGGTAAAGCTTGCGTCTCCGTATCTGATAACGACTGCTGCACATTTCGTGTAATTCTCAGGGATCGCAAGACAAAGCCCATGATTATGAGAGTATGTGATCCACATACAGACCTCTCATTTTCTTGGAAGACTAGTTAACTGGGAGTGAGTGTTCCCTACTTAGCTTTATCTTGATATCAAGATCTATGCCAAGACCAATCCCCCAAGTATGCAAATCACATGACCAAAAATATACTTCCGAATCGCAATCCAAATGCAAACCAAGTTTATTTGATCACAAAGGAACCTTCGGGGTTTAATACTCAAATTGTCATCATATGTCCCATGATGGTTTCGCTGTTCTCAGAGACCCCCTGAACACCAGACATATATCACATGTTGCCCCCTTCTTTCCCTTCGAGTTCATCAAACAACACGGTCGCTCAAGCCGTGTAGATAATGGTAAGTTAAGTCCTACTCCTCCCCCACTGTTTCTCAAGTCCGGTAGCCAGTCCAAACTACTGTTACTGCGGTTGACTGATCGCACCTTTCCCCCACTCTCTTCTATAGGGCAAGCGCAAGAAGTCCAGCCGCAAACCGGCAGCCCCCAAAAAGGCAAGTCAATGAACGCGCAGTTTCGCGTTTGCCGGCCACCTTATTCGCTAACTGTATTGCAGAAAGAACCCCTCCAAACCACGTTTTCCTGTCTATTCTGCAACCATGAGAACTGTGTAATAGTGAAACTGGATAAAAAATTGGGTCTTGGGAATTTGTCCTGCAAAATATGTGGCCAGCGTTTCCAGACTGGCATCAACTGTGAGAACATTTTCCATTTTTGCGGCTGGTCTATTCGTACCTCGACTAATCAACTTCGATCATGGCTCTAGATCTCTCAGCTGCCGTCGATGTGTACTCTGATTGGGTCGATGCCTGCGATGCTGTTGCTAAGGACGCCGCTGCTGGGAATGATATCGGTACTACTATACGTGGAGCAAATGAGGGATCCCCAGGACCGGTAGGACGCGGCACTGAAAGGGAGGAACTAGATCAGGCTGAAGCCGACCTCGATGATTATTGACAACGAAGAATTGTTTGGCAATCCACTGCTTCTTACCCAGCTTGCTAAAATCGCTTTGCGATTCGGGTACTCATCCCTTTAAATTACGTTGATGATAGTTCGGCTTACTCTAGCCTGAAGCGTCATGTTATAATATAGGATTGAATTGGGATTCGGAAAAATCCGGTATATATAGACTCCGTAGTGTGGATATTTTGCGACTGAAAATAAAAAATGGTTCAACCAGCTTTGCCTTCTCAGTTCCCACGCAAACAGCTTCCACACCTCCATTTGTTCTCCAACCGAACTAAAAGGCTGCGATAACACACGCAAAATGAAATGTGCCGAGATTGCTCTGTAGGAAAGTTATTGATTGGCAGGAATCAATGATGGCTCCCTCGCATCATGCGACTTTGAGTAAATATATTCATTGATTTTCACTCTTCTACAATGTGTAGTATCGGTCGCCGAAGTCACCGAGCCCCGGAATAATATACCTGTTTTTGAAGTTAGATATAGCGGAATGTCAATAAATGCAGAAATAGCCCTTTACTGACTTCTTTTCATCGAGCCCTTGGTCGATAAATGCGGTGACTACTCGTAGTTTAGGGTACTTCTGAGCAAAGTCGGCAACCCCCGAAGGACTTGCGATGAGATTTAGGAAAAGGATTCGATCTTCAGGTACACCTTTTGATTTCAATACATCAACCGCCATCGTGGCCGAGCCCCCTATTCTAGTCATTAGCACGAATTGCGTTAAAAGATCACCCACAGAGTGTTCTGTACCAGTTGCAAACATTGGGTCCAGAAGTAACACCCATCTGTTTGCGATGTCCTTGGGAAGTTTCTCATAGAAAAGCTTAGGTTGCCATGTATCGTCGTCTCTTTGTATCAAGATCTTGCCAATGCGAACGGATCTGCAACAATCACGCAAACCTTGTTCCATAGCTTCTCCTGCTCTCATAATGGACACACCGCATATTTTCCCCTGGAATCTGACTCCAAGATATGACCGACCAACTGGGGTGGTTACTGACTGCTCAACAACGGGTAGGTGATTCAAGCCTTCTTCCACCAGCAAGCGTATGATCCTGTTCGAGTAAAATATGAAGTCTGCTCTGTCTGTACGAGTGTCCCTTATCATACTTTTATGGGCATTGAATTAGTCTTCGCATTGGGTTAAATGGCTAAATTGGGTACGGGAGGGGCGAAATTAACTTGCGTTAAAAGTGCAATTAGCTGAGGCGTTTGCGGGAGGACGTGGACATTATCGTAGTCGACACCCTGCGAGACCGTTGCTGTTGGTTTTTCTCCATCTGGTTTGTAGAGAGGACCAACACCCTGGCAAGGCAATGGAGCACCTGCGACCTGCTGAGCCATAGCCTGATATATATGAGAGGCACGGGGACGAGATGCGTCGGCTCGGAAATCTGGAGGAAGTATCCGAGTTAGGCACGGGCATCCAACGCCGTGGAAGAGTAACTCGCAGATGTGAAGACGTTTGTAGCTCTCGGTTTGGTGGCGGAGCGGGGTTCGGATGTAGAGGTCTCCTGCAAAATTAGCCATTAGCAACGCCAACACATCTTAGGAGGGGCTATTCCTGAAGAGCAGTCCCACCAGTTACCAGCTGCAACTAATTCTTATGCCCAGAGACTCAAGAGCCGCAGTTTTCGCTGTTGATAATCAGCTTTTGGGCTCCCTCTATTCAGGCTTAAATAGATACGGAACGCTCACGCTATTCAATCAAAGAAACAGTCTTATTTACCGAAAAGGGCCTACTGAATATACAGAGAACAGATGTATGTGTCCATGTATAGTTATTTCTTGTCACAATGGACGCAGTGTTGTTGGTTGTCCTCACCCAATCGCCGGAAAAATAACTAACTAGCTACGGAATAATGAACTAACTATCCCTGGAAAAATACAAGTTCAGTAAACAGAAGTCGGTTGACTAACGAACAGTTGGCTTCCTGCTGCGCACACCTGCTGCGACCACGGCCATCCAACCCTCCCGTACTCCAAATCAGGTCGCCTTCTTTCCCTCTGATGCGCGAGGAAGACAACGCGCCGCGAACCCGAACGCCCGACGAACCCATTTCTGCAGATGGCTGCTTGACGTTTTCACTAGATGGACAACCAATCTTCCGCCACCACCCTTCTGACTTCTCTGTTTGCCTCATTCCATCCTACCTAAGGAACCTCTTGCAGGGGATACTACAATTGAGTTATGGCGCCAGCTGCGAAAAGTGCAACGCCCCATCGCCAACTAATCACTTATGGGAAATCCTCGGTGGGCCCTAAGTACGATATAGGACCCAAATCGTCGCCTGCTCTGACTCGAACACAAGTCCCAGAGCCCTCGCCAGAAGAACCTCCAAATCAGGTTTCAACGGCTCAGACCACAGTAGGGGGAGTCAGGAAAACAACTAAGGACGGACAAGGTCATCGAGGTGCTGGCACGCTTCAAACACCCCGGCTTCCGAAACCGTCCAGGTCGAGTTTGCTACACCATCGAACACCAAACTATCGGGGTAGAAAACAATGGGTTTACGATATTGCGTCATCGGGCGATGAGCAACTGCATGAGGATAATGAGCCCTGGCGAAAACGTAGAAAGATAGAAAGTCCGAAGGCTGAATGGGCTTCGAACGGATTCGAAGACGCTGCTATGCCGAACCCAAAACGCTCGACGAAGCGCGATATCCGACATGACAGCTCAGACTCCGACACAATCACATTTAAGAAATCGTCTGTCCCGCCCGGGGAATCTAACCAAATCGAAGTTGTTATTCTGACACCAAAGAAGCCGACAGGGCGGCACCATGGATACTCCACCAAAGAGGGAACTATGGAGTGCGCCAATGCACTTGATGCCAACCTGCCTCGTCGTGCTAAAGATTCAACGACTACAAATCCTCAAACACACCGCAGTTCGCGCAAAACCTCTGATTCTCTGTCGCGGCAACAGACTCAGCGGCCTTTGAAGCCTCTTACGACGAAGCTCCTAAGAGCAGGAAAATCAGAACAAGCTTCCACACCGAAAACATTTCCGTTGAATTCAAGGTACAAACCAGCGGCTTCTCATCCGGTTGCTGCTGAAGTCGGGGGCAATAAAACGGAGTGCAATGTAATTATGAGTACTACACCGTCGCGGAGAAGGATCGTAGATGCTTTGGGTACCACGGCCCGTGGCAGGTCAGAGTCTTCAACAATTGAATCCATAAGTGTTGCCTCCCGTGCCTCATCCGAGATATCTACTGGATTATCCGAGGATTCTACGCCATCTATATCTCAACTTCCGAACGTGTCTCACAGGATGCAAATTGATTCCCAAGCCGATTCTCCCGATCAGAGACAGCAGTCCCAGTCCCAGGGAACAACCGGCCCCAAAGCTACCTATGCTCGACAGAGGTCATTCCTTTCTGCTAAGAGCATAACTGAGGATCTGATTTTGGACAATCTGTTCCGGCCCTCTTTTGCTCAGCAGCATGGGCCCGGCCACGGGACCGGACCTGGCGTTTCGAACCATGTGGCCTCGAAATCTACCTGTCCCCTTGCGACCCGAATTACTGGAGACGATGATGAGGGCAACTCCAATAGGGTAGTCCGAAACATCTACGAACTACGTCGTGCAGGCGAAAATGCTAGGTTTGAAGGGATCGTGGACGCAATTTTCGAAGACATTGAAGACCCTAATTCCTCGGCTTCACGGCGTTACAGTGGACTAATCCAGCTCTGTACAAAGCTGATGGATGACCAATTCACGCGGCGATTCTTGGCACATGTTTTGGAGAAACGGCTTGCAAAACAGGCTGGCAACTTGGACGACGCAATTTACACGTACCTAATTGCTTGTGCGTACGGGTTAATTTTGTCAGCAGGCCCTGTGTCGTCTGTTGTTCTACGTACCTGCTCCACGCAAGTGTTTAGAGTTATACCCAAGATGATAACTGACAAGTCTGAGATCCTCGACATCTCAAAATTCGGGCCCGCTAGAACGTCCAAAGCTGTCCAAGGCTCTCTGCGGGACTTCTGCGAACAGCTAGCCGAAAGTAGAATTTGGCATGACGTCAAACCGAAGAAGTGCATCCCTCAGATCCTAGCACTACGATGCATTGAAATGGTTGTGCGTCGGTCCCGTGAGAGTGGAGATAACATGGACTATATGTCTAACGATGTTCTATCTCAGTTGGTCAACCTGTTGCTACAGCGTTCGGTGCTTCCAAAACAAGTCCAAGATGCAAAGACCGACGATTTCCTAATCCTCGAGTTGACATTCTCCATCTTGGAATCCTACACGGTTGTTCTAAATTCCCTCGAACCAAGCCAGGAGAAGTTACTCAAGAGGCTTTCCGGACTTGGACCGCTCCTGTTCCAGCTATCATCTCGCTGCTCGCAGCCGTGTTACAGACAGATCCAGTTACTAGAAATCCGGCTGATCTTGAATCTTACCAATAATAATCCTTCACTCTGCGAAGATTTTTCGACACCAGAACTGATACAAGCGCTGATGGCCATCGTGATGTCGAATTTTGGGCTGGTGTCGGAGGATTTTGCTGGCGACAGAAGGGACTCTTTGTTAGACGTGGTAATCTTGGCGCTTGGAACATTGATAAATTTGACCGAATGGAACGAGACTGCACGACAATTGATTTTGAAAACACCAAGTGGCTCGACAACGTTCCTTAACAGGTTGTTACAGCTATTCAAGGACGGATGGGATAAAACTTCCGAGGTAAGGGATTACATCTGATATCTGATTAATTTCTGACGGAGAGGGAAAAAAATGGAAAGAAATAAAAAAAAAAAAAACCCGCCGTTTCTCAGAAGGCTAACAACCGTATTATTTGCCCGCCCTCCTATTTCTTTTTTTATTCAGGCAGACTCCGTGGTGCAGACACACTCCAATGTGGCGTTTGGTTATTTATCTGTGCTTCTGAGCACGGTGTCCCTCGACGACGAGGCGCGATTACACCTTAGGAACTCCCTCGACGGGAGAAGTGTTGACCGCGTGCTGGCTACTGTTGACGAGTTTCTGCACTACCACCGGAAGGTTGAGAAGGAGCTGCAGGACGGGCAAGGCGAGCATGAACCGGTGACCGGTTTCACGTGCAGGCTTCAGAGTATCGTAGACCGGATCAAGCAAGCGGAAGGGATCTGTTGAGAGACGGCGGTCTTTCCACCTCACCAGTACACCAGCACGGCCACAGGTTGTTTAGTATTGCGTAGTATTCAAGGGATCAATGATGTCGATGTGCTTTCTGTTGTTGTTGTTGTTGTTGATGATGATGATGATGGAGTCACGATCTATGAATAGCAGTGTCAATAGATTTCTGTCGTTGGTTATTATTGAAGATGAAATTGAGACTAGTTACGATCTGAATTGTTTCTCCGCAACAACAATGGTTGATTCAGGCCGACGGCGATCCGACCTTGGAAGGCCTGGAACCGCCGATCGATCGACAAAGCGGCAACAGTTTCACGTGGTGCCAAGCCAGGCGGCACCGGGGCCAAACAAAAGGGCGGAAACAGCTGTGATTGGCTAGGAACCCCGGCTGCATGGTGGCGTCACCGGCTAAGGCAGGAAGGAAGTTGCAGTCAGGATGCTAGTCAGCAGAGGCCCAGGGGTTGCTGGGAGCTGGGGACGCCGGGGACGCCGGGGGGCGACGGTCGGCCAGCTGTTGCAGGTAGGCCTATGTAGGTCATTTCCCCAGTATATGATTCTCTGCGTACAGCCCAGCCTGGACGGAATGTGTTATGTAGCGGGGAGTGGAACCTATGCCTTCTTCTTCTTCTTCTTCTACTACTACTACTACTACTGCTACTGCTGCAGCTACTACTAGTGGTGGTGGATTCCAAGTGGTCTTTCTTCTCACGTCTCAATCCATGGTTAATCCAAATCGTCTCTCTTGTGCTGTTCACACAGGCTATGGACACACTGCCTGCATCCGTTTCTGCACCGGTAATACCACGCGCCACCATCTCCGCGCGTAGCTGGAGTCATCATTACTACTATAAGTTACCTTAGTGAACTAGCTAGCCAAACTAAACCTGCAATAACTCTCAATAACTCTCAATAAATCTCGCTTCTTCCCGTTCAATTCTCTCATCCTTTGGCCCGACTTATCCCATCCAATATCCAATATCCCATATCCGTATCCGTATCCTTCCCGTGCCCTGTGCTCAAGGAAACCCATCTCAACAACCTCTCCCCGTCCTGAAAACAAATTCGGATTGAAATATGGCACCACCCCCAAAGCAACGGAAGATTGCGGTTGTTGGTAGCAGATCTGTGGGTACGTCTCAAGCACTACCATCTGAGCTCCCCCCCAATAGCGTTTCCCCTTCGCAAATGCGTTAACTTTCATGGATCTCCTCTACCCACAGGCAAATCATCCCTTACTGTCCGCTTTGTCGACGGGGTCTTTGTGGAGAGCTACTACCCCACAATCGAGAATACATTCAGCAGCACCATCAAGTACAAAGGCCAGGACTTTGCTACGGAGATCGTGGACACTGCTGGCCAGGATGAATACAGCATCCTGAACTCGAAGCATTTCATCGGAATTCATGGCTACATCATCGTTTACTCGGTCGCATCGCGCCAGTCCTTCGACATGGTTAGGGTTATTCGAGATAAGATTCTCAACCACCTGGTGAGCGCGTATCTCTCTCCGCACGCTTAAGCAAACAGTGTCCACCCCGCAACCCCGTCTCTCCTTTGTTCTGTGGGACTCCGCTGACTGCTGCCACCATTTCTTGGCTTTTCATTGACAGGGAGCGGATTGGGTGCCCCTAGTGGTAGTCGGAAACAAAAGCGACCTCAAACCGGACGTACGACAAGTGACGGAGGAAGAAGGGAAGAAACTCGGGGAGGAATTCAATTGTGCCTGGACCGAAGCAAGTGCCCGACTGGACGAGAATGTCGCCAAAGCCTTCGACCTGATCATCGCGGAAGTTGAGAAATCGCAGAACCCAACTCAGCCTTCTAGCGGTAGTAAATGCATCGTTATGTAAAACGCCGCACTGCGTATGGCACACGGCGCACGACACGGCGCACGATACACGACACACGGCGACATACGATACTCACCCCGAAATGTACTTTGCCATGAGATAATGCTTTCCTCTTTAAATCTACCTTTACTTTTCTTTTTATACTTTTGGTATGTTTTTGATGGTGTTAGCCCAGCGTATACGCGTGTTTACCGTGGTTGGGTAGATGGGATTGATCGGGTTTCCTTTTTAAGCAAGTTTAAGTCTTGGGGAGAGGGCGTTACCAGTGGTCTCCAGAAGGGTTTTTTCTACTGATGTGGCATTCTGGAAATATTATCCATTTGCCTTGTCACAGTCCCTGTCAGTTCGTTGGTTTTTTTCCTGCCGGGGAGGGACGGATTTTATTCTCTCGATTTCCGTCATTTCTTTCCCACTTGTTCCTGTTTCGGGTTTATGGGTTACTGTGATGCGTATATTTGGCAGTCAATAGAGGCACACCGTCACATTTACAGGGCTCTGTGTGGCTTCAGCTTGTGTTACCTTTTTTTTGTTTGTCTCCTTTTGCGGTCCTACATTTTAGTGCAACTTTCTAATTCCTCTTATTATTATTATTATCACCGTTATCATTCCTATTAACTCTTTTACCCAATGTTTCGTACTCTCTCTTCTCTCTTTGGAGTATGGCGGCACACATAGACAGACTGTTCATAGAACGGTTGTGATGACGTTTGACCGCTTATTTCATTTTCAACCGTTGTCTTTGTTTGCTTGCCAAAGCATGTCTCTTCAAAACCGTGTGGGCAGCAGGACTTTTTGAGAGGTAATTGGGGTTGGCAACTTGATGGTGATAATAATGATAATCGTAGTAATTGCAGTCGTAAATACGGATAACCAGAACAACAACCGCCGCGCGAGCAAGTTAGGTCTGGACATCCAAATTCTAGAGTTTGTTCCTCAAGACTCGAGACTCGAACGCGTCTCCTTACCTTCTTTGCTTTTTCCTTCAGCAGCTAAACTCAATTAGCTTTACACCCAGATTGTGGCATGGAGCAGCATCGATTTATATGCACTACCCATATCTCTTATCCTCACATCCCACTATCTTTTTGCCCCGCCATATTGAACCAGAGCAAAAAAAAAAAAAAATACAATAGACTGGCAGCCAACCCCTCACCTGTTGTCGCTCTCTGCCAAATTCAACCCCCATCTCACCGTTTCGTTTTACAAGAAGCCGTCTAGCGCACTCTATTCGCTCGCCCTTAAACTTAACAAAAGCCAACGAATCACCTGCGAGAAAGAGAAAAAAAGGGCAACTGAGTCATCACCATGCTTGACGTTGCGGACTTTGTCCATGGAGCCACTCCAGAGAAGATCACGGAAAACCGAGAGAGATTAAAGGAGAATCAACGGCGTCGCGGCGCACCAGTGGAAGCCATAGACGAGGTCATTGCCTTGTTCAAGGCCGCCCGTGAAGGTATGTTGCTGGCCTTCGCAGTGATCTAGCAAACCAAATTCCCTTTCGCATTTTACATCTTCCACACTGAAAATCACAAAGCTTGCGTTGTATGTCCGCTGATTTGTTTTTCTTTCCTCTTTTTTTCTTTTTCTTTTGTAAAAAAAACAGCACGCTATGACGTTACTCAGATAGGCGAGAAGATCAATAAGGTCCAGAAGGAAATTGGGAAGAAGAAAAAGGTTCACTCATCCTTTCTTCGTACGGGCTTTGCACAACGGTGTCCATATATACACCCCATAGTTATATCATCAACTGCGACTAATAGATCCGTTTTGGGCATTGATCTAGAACAAAGAAGATGCGGCTGATCTAATCGCGGAGAAGACGGAGCTGGAGAAGCAAAAGAAAGACGCCGATGCAGCGGCCACAGAGAAGGAGTTGTTGAGAGACCGGAAACTTGCATCGATTGGCAATTACGTCCATGAAGACGTCCCTACGAGTCAAGATGAGGTTGGTGACTCCTTTGTATTCTACTGCCGGTTTCCTGGAAATCAATCGCCAACCAAATAACTAAATTCGCGATCTATATAGGCGGATAACGCTATTCTCTCGACATGGGCGCCGGAATGGTTCAAGGAAGAAAAACCTGCCTACTGCCTCTCACATGACGACGTGCTTCACCGGTTGGATGGTTTTGACCAGAAACGAGGCACTAAAATCTTTGGTCACCGGGGATACTGTCTCATCAACTACGGCCTGCTCCTAAATCTTGCTCTGGTGAACTATGGACTAGAGTTTCTGTTCAGAAAGAAATACACACTCAACCAGCCCCCTTATTTCATGCTGAAGCAGTTTATGGCGAAGACTGCTCAGCTTGAGCAGTTCGATGAAGAGCTCTATAAGGTTACTGAAAACGAGGATAAAGCATCGGAAAGATATTTGATTGCAACTTCTGAGCAGCCCTTGTCTGCGTTACATAGCGGAGAGTGGCTTCAGGATAGTGATCTACCGATCAAATACGCCGGATACAGCACTTGTTATAGAAAAGAGGCTGGCTCTCATGGCAAGGAGGTAATGGGGATTTTCCGTGTGCACCAATTTGAAAAAGTAGGTTTCGGTCAAATTTTCTTGGAGAGGGAAGTTGCGTCGACGCATAACTAACATGGCTGTTAATTATAGATAGAACAATTTGTGATGACAAAACCCGAGGACTCCTGGGATGCATTTAAAGATATGATGAAGAATTCAGAAGAATTCTACCAATCCCTCGGGCTCCCATATCGCGTTGTCGACATTGTCTCCGGGGCGCTGAATAATGCTGCATCGAGGAAGAATGACTTAGAAGCATGGTTCCCGTCCCAGGGCAAATACAAGGAGCTGGTTTCTTGCTCGAACTGTACAGACTACCAGACACGGGCACTGGAAATACGATACAGACAGAAGAAGGATCTTGCGGATGAGAAGGAATCCGGCACTGACGAGAATAAGAAGATCTATGTGCACGCGTTGAACGCTACACTGTGTGCTACAGAGCGCACGCTTTGTTGTATCTTGGAAAACTACCAGACCGAAACAGTGAGCCTCCCTCCCTGAATGGCAAAAACCCCGATTTACTGGTTGACCCCACATAAAACGTGTCATTAAATTGCATATAATTTGTGACTGACATATCTTCACTCGGCTATAAAGGGCATAATTGTACCAGAAGTGCTCCGGAAGTATATCCCAGGCCAACCCAAGGAGATACCATATACTAAGGAGCTGGTTGAAAAGCCCAGCGCAGATAAATCAAAGACTAAAGCTAAGCAAAATCCTGCGCCAAAAAAGGGTAATGTGACTGAAGGGATGCGGAACTTGAAAGTATAGAGGGAACTGCGATACAAACCGAGTGGGGCTGACAGTTTAGCCGCAACTCCCATATGCTGAATAGAGATTCTCTTTCCATCGGTGATATCTAGGGGATATTATACCGGTGGCTTGTCAAAGTAGCATACATGAATTTAACAGAACAGTGGATAAAAAGGGTTGCGTTGGGTATTTTAAAACTGTGATAAATATTTCTCCATCGTAGATGAAATATTTAACGTAGTTGGAAGCAAGATATATTCCCCGCCGCTCGACAAATCAATAACAATTCTTATTCACAATAAAAATTGTGACTCAGATTGAACAGCTAAATATCCCTATTATTGGTTGGTACCAGTAAGAAAAGCTAGCTATTTTTTATTAAACTCATAGAATGAGAGTTTTTTTTTTTCTTGAAACACTAATCTGTCCCCTCCCTTTGACAAACCGAACGAGCATCCTCTGCACAAAGCCCCCCAATTGTTCAACGAGCAACTAGCCACCTATGGCGTCCGCTGCAAGAGACATCAAACGTAGCCCTGGTGGACACGCTCGTAGTGTTTCTCGCAGCTTCAGCTTTTCCACTTCCCCGTCAGCGGCTGTCTACTCCTCACCATCCAGCCAAACCGGCATGCATGCTGCAAACCCGGCAGCCCTCAAACCATTAAAACCATTTGCGACTGAGGATATCAAAATATTACTTCTGGAAAATGTAAACCAGACAGGAAGGGATATTTTGCAAGAACAGGGCTATCAGGTCGAGTACTTGAAGTCCTCGTTACCGGAGGATGAGCTGATTGAAAAGATCCGGTTTGCTACTCCTTGACCCCTCGTCCCCAGGCCCCTCAACACCGCACCTCACCGCACCGCACAATTGGAAAAACACAAGCAAGACTGACCCCGAAATATCCCCTTCTCTATCTAGGGATGTGCACGTCATTGGCATACGGTCCAAGACCAAGCTAACAGAGCGGGTACTCAAAGAAGCCCGTAACCTCATCGTCATCGGCTGCTTTTGTATCGGCACGAATCAAGTCGACCTCCAGTATGCCGCGACACATGGCATGGCAGTGTTTAATTCCCCCTTTAGTAACTCGCGTAGCGTGGCTGAATTGGTTATCGGCGAGATCATTTCCCTGGCTCGACAGCTGTGTGACCGATCGAGCGAGATGCACAATGGGATGTGGAATAAAGTGAGTAGCAAATGCTGGGAAGTGCGCGGAAAGACGCTTGGTGAGTCGTGTAAACTTTTCTTCATATGGTTTTGTATCTTTCCGGTTTTGATATTACCCTTTTTAAATCTTTTTATTTTTATTTTTATTTTTTTTGGGCGTGGCATCGCGGCTTATATATACATATCGTCTGTGTTTTTCTACATATACAGGAATCGTCGGATATGGACATATTGGATCCCAACTGTCCGTCCTGGCGGATGCGATGGGTATGAACGTGATATACTATGACGTTGTCAATCTGATGGCAATGGGAACAGCGCGACAAGTGCCCACCTTGCGAGATCTTCTCAGTGAGGCCGATTTCGTAACTCTACACGTCCCCGAACTGCCAGAAACCAAGAACATGATCAGCGCGGAACAGCTGAGGCAGATGAAATATGGGAGCTATCTCATCAACGCCAGCCGCGGAAGTGTTGTCGACATCCCTGCTCTAATCCAAGCGATGCGCGAGGGCAAAATCGCGGGAGCTGCGCTTGATGTCTACCCCAACGAACCTGCGGGTAACGGGGACTATTTTAACAATGAGCTCAACAGGTGGAGTGCGGATCTGAGGGCATTGAAGAACCTAATCCTCACACCGCATATTGGTGGGAGTACCGAGGAGGCGCAGAGTGCGATTGGCATTGAAGTTGCCCAGGCGTTGGTGCGCTATGTAAATGAAGGTGTGACGATAGGGGCCGTAAATATGCCTGAGGTGCATCTGCGGTCCTTGACGATGGAAGAGCCCAACCATGGCCGGGTGAGTCGATTTGTTTCTCTTCTCTTTTCTTCTCCTCACATCTTTTATTCCAAAAAAGATTTTAAAAAATATAAATAAAATAAAACCAGATGAAATAAGCGAAAAGCTAATGTGTGTAAACGTGTTGTTGACCAGGTCATTTTCATCCATCAAAATATTCCTGGCGTACTGCGGAAAGGTATTCAGAAGACATCCCACCTCCCCCCCCCCCTTCACCAGCATCTCTACTGGAAGCGTTCGTCATCACTGGGTTATCTTTTATACTAATTACCGCCTCTGTAGTAAACGAAATCCTTAGCGATCACAACGTTGATAAACAGATGACTGATAGCCGTGGCGATGTACGCAATCCTATCCTCCTGCGATGTGACAATTTATGTGGACAAAATTAACAACATGAACAGGTTGCATATCTGATGGCTGATATAAGCGACGTTCATACCAGCGATATTAAGGATCTCTACAACAGGCTCGAGAACTTACCATGTATGAACAAAAAATCCCGCATCTCTTTCTCCCTCATGATGCTCTTAAGAAAGGGACAGAAACGAAAATTTTTAAGCTAACGAATGGTTTAATCTAGCTCGAATTATGACCCGGATACTGTATTAAATGGACCACTTTCATATTCGTAATAAACCTAGCTACCTACTCAACGACATCTAGGCACCCGCTGTGTATATTAACCGGCCAGCAAATTCAGCATTAATATCTATGTCTTCGTCATGTTTTTCAACAAAAACAAATGCCCAATTTCTTTTTGGCGTTGGCAGCGAGGGGACTGCGTTATTTCATGAGCCAAAATTTCTGGAGATACGAAAATGTAGCTCTTATAGGGGTTGGACCCAATAGTTAACTGCATATGTCTTATCCGTTGTGTCCCACTCTGCATGTATCAATATGGCATTCTTGGATCGTTTGTCTGATGGAAGTAATACACGTGTACTTGTTTATCCACGTCATTAACTACTTAAAGATGGGGGGTAACATGACAACATCACCTCTATTCGTGTGAAGTGCTATTTTAAAATACACTGCGTCTTTTCATTCGAGGGCCAAAAACACCAATACGCAGAGAGCGACGCCACCAAACAACCCGTCCATGCTGCCAGGTTAAAACCGAAGCGGACATTTTCCATGGCATATTTCATTAAAGTAAACTTGGTTAAGCATGCCTCAAGCTAAATTTGATTAAATGATAAAAGTAAGCGGAAGGTGGGAGCTCAAATAGTATTGATATTTGAGACTTCTCCATATGAAATACTGCGGGTTTTAGTAAGCGGCGACTAAAGTGATCACCGCCGGTGAAGATCATAGTAGGAATTGCTTTCCCGAGATCGAGTTCTATGTCTGGGTTCTGGGCTTCGACTTCGTCTTCTCGAACGATCCCGATCATAATCCCGTAGCTCTGCAGTATCTCGTCTACCATCGTCCCGGCCTTTGAAGCGGTCAGCTGGCCCATCATAGTTTGGGATGTATGAATCCAGACCACTCTCCCTGCGAGGTGGTGGGCCATCTCGTCTGGGTTCGAGACGACTGTCTCCTCGCCACGCCTGGCCGGCCGTCCATGGATGGTAGGAAGATACGGGTGGTTTAGGGGGCAGCGTGGAATCTCGTTGCCAAGCCGGAAGATGTCCGCGTGGTTCATCAGAGGCCAGTTTTCTCTGCGGCTGTGCGACGTCCGGGACGCGGTTGTCGAACTGTCGCCGAGGGGCTACGGAAGCTCCATTTGTTGGAGGGCCACGAGCTACATTCGGAATTCGGCTCAATTTCTGGTCGGAGTTTTGCCTCAATCCTGATCCAGAGGTCCATTCGCCGTTTGGACCCATGCCTACTGAACCCCCTGCAGGGGCAGGGGGTAAAGCGGCTTTCTGGCCGCGGAATTTCCGTCTATCAAGCTCATGCGAATCTTCAAATTTCGGCAAATCGCCAGGTCGCGCGGGGAATGGGGGACTGCGAAAGTATGGATGTTGAAGAGCGTCAATTGCATTGATCCTTTTGCGCCAATCCAGTTTAAGGAGCTCACTGAGGAGAGATATAACTCCTGCTCCTTGCCTGCGGGAAATGTTAGAATTAACAGGAACGTCAGGGTTTGTTAGAGCGTTAATAGATATCCACGACGCACTCTTTAAAAACAGTGGCAAGGTTGCCTTGCATACTCCCGAAATTCTTCACAACATCGCAACCCGGTAATGAACTCCATCCTGGCATGTTTTCTTCCGTCGGGGTGCCAACAAGGCTGAATATGAGATGAGCCTGGTTTATATCACTGCTGCCAGCGAGAATTGGCTTTCCTTTGAACATTTCGCCGAACACACAGCTGTGTGAGGGTTAGTAATGTGTTAAATGTAATTTATTTTCACCCATTGCAAGGTCGCTTACCCGACACCCCACATGTCGATTGCGGTAGTATATTTCCGAAGGTGAAGTAGGAGTTCTGGCGGCCTGTACCATCGAGTAACAACTAACGTTGTATACTCTCTCACTGCTTCACCGCCTCCTTTGCCAGGTTTGGGTGGCGATTCGTCATATGGTCGAGCTAGACCGAAGTCTGCAATTTGAAGGATGCCTTTATTATTGATTAGAAGGTTCGCAGCTGGAAATTCTATTAGCATATAAACGTAACGAACCCCCAATTTTGTATTCTCTGACCTTTCATGTCACGATGTAATATTTTATTCTAAGCAAGGGTTAGTTAGCTTGGCATGGGAAAAAGCCCCTTGAACTGCGGAAGTATGCACCTCATGTAAATACCGTAGACCCTCTAAGAGTTGCAGCATATAACACTTGATCTGGGGTTCGGTAAAGTGAACGCTAGGGTTTTCTAGAAGGCCTGAAAGATCATGGTCCATGTATGGAGTGACCATGTACATGCTAGGTTTTTTCCTTCCTTCTCCTTTTCAATTGTAAGCCCCGCCCAAAAAACAGAGAGAGGGACGCATTCGTGTAAACCAACCTCGAGGACGCTCAACCGCCATTTCCTGAAGTTGTAGAACATTCGGATGCGAAAGCATCTTGAGAAGTTTTATTTCCCGCAAGGCTGTTATAGGAAACTAGGTGCCTAGATTAGACAAAGTAGATACAAAATATATCTAACGGTTAACTTACCCCATCCTTCTCATTATGCATTAGTATCTTTTTCAATGCAACTATGGCACCCGACCGTTTGGAGCGGGCCTTGTACACCTCGCTAGAATTTGTAAATATCTTTTTGTGAGTCATCACAAGAAGTTCGTATATTTCTGCACATACCCGAATGTACCCTCTCCAAGCTTCCCTAGAAATTCGAACTCTCGAATATTTGAGCAGCCATGAAACCGCGGATTTCCGTGCTCATCCCGTTCCAAAGGAACTTTGGATTGGGGTGAGGAGTTGGGGATGACCATATTTATCGCGGTTAGACGGGCTGGCCTCCCTCAACGCGGAAATTGGTTTTTTGTATTCGTCCTCTCCAGCAAGTAAAACTTTTCATGAGAATCTTTTCACACAGAATCGACATGAAAACGAGCACCCTTATGGTGTCGGCGTGTTTATGTGGTGGTCAGGAGCAGACTGTGCGAACATCGGTTCTCGTCACATGGATGCATCGAGTATGGGCGTGTTCGATAACGAAGGATATTCAAGGTTCAGGCAAATGATGGATGAAGCACAAGCTTTTTCGATAGTATATGGAGCTTTTCCTATAGCTAAAAAACCTGTCCTTTGGATCCTGAGGAGTTAAATAAATAATTCATGCACCGCGCATATGTGATTTGGTCGTGTTTTAGTATAGTGTTGAAGCATTTATCCCCTCATTCTCGCCACAGCATATCTTGCGAGATCCTTGTGCGTATAGGTAGTTTCGAAATGTAATTCCTGGTTGCCAAACAGGAGTCATCGGCAACCGAAGACGTAAACTTGTGGTTGATGCCGGATGAATGAAACCGAAAGGGGAAATTCATGTCATGTGACTCGGCTCGATCTGAAATCTCCCTCTACCGAAGTTCAATTGAATGTCCCAGTTGCAGGTTCAATCGTGTCCCTCACAGCCCAGTTGAAGGTATGTCCCCAAGAATCAATTACACATTTGCTCTTGCTGACTGTTATCGGGGAACAAGCTTTCTGATTAGAGCTTCCAGCCATGCCTTCAAATCATCCGATTCAAGTCCGCGCAACCCGGCCATTGTACCGATTCGCCGCGACCGCTCTTGGAGCCAGCATGTGGTTTTTCGTACGTTCAAGCTAACAAATCCTTATGTAGACAACTGACGTCTACTTCAAACATTCTGACTTGCTCTATGCATATTGCTTTAGTTGATGTATCGCGCTAAGAAAGACGGTCCTGTTCTACTCGGTTGGAAACACCCTTGGGAACATTGAATTGATGTTTTTTACGATGACTCAGAGCAGAGAAATGGAAAGGAGTATTCCTAGAAAGATAGAGCTCCACTAGGAATGGAATTATACAGTCGTGTACAGCCCGACGCATCGTCAGTGTCATAGTAGTTCGAGGCAACGAGCAACTGCAAATTCTCGATAAGCAGATGGATGCTATGGATTGCATGCATTAGAGGATATAATGGGTATCATATTCTTTCTTTTCCTATGGTCGCTTTCAATAAGGCATAAAATCAAGCTATATGCTTTTGCAAAATTCCTCAAACCCGTATATCTATCCCATTTTCTACCTCTTCTAAATTCGAGTGGTGACATCTGCGACAATATATAATCCTGAAAGAGGGAAGTTTATACAATAAGTCTATGATTCTTCAAGCAGACTCTTATACCGACGCCGCTGTTTTGCTTGATCTGGACGAAGCCAGCAATGAATGCGACCAACAAGACGAGCCAATCTGGGGAAAACCAATCGTTCCCCAAGCCATGCGATTGAAAAGTTAACAAGTGCTAGCCCCATAATCCAAAACTTGAACCAAGTAGACATTTCGGTAAGTTGCATGAAATTGAATAACCATTTCGCTGGTTCAAATAGCATGTATGAGGAGAACATAGATGTAACTATGATGGTGACGACAAAGGGTACTGCATTTATTCCCTCATCAGCTTCCAGTGAACAAAAAAGAGGATGAGACAAGAAAATGGGATATAGTGAACTAGAGTAAAGGGGTTGGAGGATAATTCACGAACCGTTCGAAGTCATTGGTTGCCGGAAGGGGCGCCCTACGCTGATTACAGGGCCAGAAAATATATATTCGAAACAGGACAAAAGGAAAAGTGCCGTGTTTTGGGAATTTTTCACGTTTGTGTCGTTGAATTTCTTTTTCGGTGGAATATACCTAAAGGAAATGAGGAATGTTAGGAGTTGGATATCCAAGGATCATGGAGGGTTCTTTACCAGTCCTGGAACTGAACAGTCTCAAAAACAACGAACTGCATTATGATACAAATACCGATTTGACCGAGAAGCGGAACTAGAACTTTGAGGGAAACTAGATTTGAGGTCGGAGCCTTGCGGCAAAGAATAGAGCTTGGTCCAATCCAACCCACTAAAACAACGGTTAATAAGTGCCAGGTGAAACAGAATACCGTCAGCAGTGAAAACTCACTAAATATTGCAATGGGCAGGATCAAGAGAAGGTCGATAAATAAATACTATTCGCGGATCAGCAGTCTCCAATTGGGTTTGGTACCTGACTGGGCTTACCTGGAAGTCTCCTAGATTGGATGCTGAAGTATATAGAAAGCTCACAGAAGTGAACTGGATGGCGGAATATAAACTCATAAATTTAAAGCAACAGAAGCTTGTGACTAAGGCCGCTCTTCCTTCCCTATGCTGCATTAGCGCATGGAGCCCGCCATCAGTACCTTGAGCTGACTTACCTGATCACTTGTGGTACGCATGATATATCAAACACTCGACTGGTAAACGGGGCCGCCACTGACGCCTCTGCCTCAGAGAGAGAAATTCCAACATCTGCGGCCTTCAGCGCTCCGCAGTCATTCGCTCCATCACCACAAAATCCGCAACAATAATCTAGAGACTGGAGTTTTTCGACCAGTTCATGTTTTTCGTCAGGAGACATGCGGGCAAACACTTGACCGCGAACAAGCATCTGTTTTTTCAGGTTAGGTTTAATTATCGAAAGGAAGCGTGTGAATATACCTTATTTAGGACTTCCGTAGAGCCGTAATCAACAATCCATCGAAATATATCCCCAGTTACAGCTATAGAGTAGTTAGGATTGCGATACGGCACTGACAGATCGGTGCCACCTCGAGTAGGAATAGGCTGATGCTTTGTCAGAACAATTAATCGCCCTGGGAGTGATAAGGAAGGTAAGCATACCGTCAGTGTGTTTTCATCGAGAAGACAGTCAGAGTTTTCTGTATTCTCCCAGCTCAGACGCGCATTGGGGTCGAACATATTTCCTGAAAGTGAGTTAGGTGATTTTGTTTGGAACACAACATGAGCCCGCATCTACTTACCTTCAACAAACCGGGGTACAAAGCATGGACTCGACGCGTCTATAATGCCGCATTCTCGGGCGACACTGACACCTGTCAGGATATTATCTCCAGTACACATGATGTTTCGAATGTGAGCTTGGTTTAGTTCAGTGATGACACCTTTGGAACTAGGTTTGAGCTTGTTTTCGAAGACAATGAAGCCAATGAATTCGAGATCAGATTCGGCTTCCAGACGATGTAGTTTCTGTACCTTTATCCAACTGAGCTTCTGGAAATGTTTTGCTGCACAGGCAATAACACGGAAACCTCGATGGGTGTAGAAGCTAAGCAGATCTTCAAAATCGGGAGGTACTGTTCACAACTTTATTAGTCTGGAAATATAGCCTTAGTCGCGGTAATTTACTTACAACTTTCGGGAAGACATATGTCTTTCATGCATTCAGGGGCCCCTTTTACGAATACGAAGGCACCTGGGTCGCCAAACTGTCGAGCTATAACGCTTGACCGACGAAGTTGGGACACGAATTCAAATGACCTGAGGACACCGAGCTCGAATGGTTTGCCCTATTGTAAGATCGTTAGCGGGGAGAAAAGCGATTCAGGAGAACAACTTACAATTGGGTCAGGATCATTATAATCAGGAGAAAAGTCAGCTGGTGGCCTAGCGATAGATGGAGAACCATAGTCCCGGTCCATCTCTATATCTGCAGCATTATGGCTCCCTTCTTCAAATGACCACCCAATGAACTGGAACATTTTCACATCTAGGGGATCACCAATCAGTTCGCCATCGACAATCCGCAAGGAGTGGCACGTTGCCATGGTATAGAGAATATAACTGTTTGCACGATAGTTCACCGTGGGGTCTCTCTCATACGACCGATGAGGAAGAATGGATGATGATTCGGTGAGGAGGTCACTAAATCTAGTACGGTAGGTCGAATCGGTTGGAATCAGCACAGGTTCTTTTGCGTCAAGAGATTGACTTACCTCAAGTCCGGTCCGCGAATTACCCTAACCCCCAAGACATCAAGACCGTCCTCCGTTAGAGTCCCCGTCTTATCGAAACAAACTACATTGAGCTTCCCGCCAACATTAACCCTGTAAGGGGCCTTTCAGCAATGCAGTACCGGAGTTCATCTTCTTCGCTTGAAGGCTTACCTTTGAGGACTAATGCAAAAAATTTTCTCCTTTTTGAGCCGAGAGAGGGCAAAATTTGTGCCAATCGATAGTGTAGCAGGTAGCGCGGGTGGAACAGCAATGGTGATGAGGTCAAGAGCACGGATAATAATGGTATGCCAGGGGAGCTGATACAAAGCGGTTAGGTTGAAAGAAAAACTTAATCAGAAAACAAGTCATTCCCATACCCCTAATCTGACAAAATTTATGAAAGATGCAATGAATCCAAATCCAGCAACAGTACCCATGACTGAAATATACCGGAAAGAATCTCGGTAGAATTTGAAGCCAGATGGCTTCGGAAAAAGCATTGAGCGAACAAGGGCGCCCTTTGTTGTATTAAAACCTGTTCTGATCACCATAGCTAATGCGACGGCTTCGTCATCCCTAGGATCTTGCGGTCGCCTAGCTCTTATTATCTTTGTTCCAGAGAAAAGGGAATGTTTTGCGACATTTGGTTGGACCGATGGCGCACTGATGTCGAGAGAGGCAAGGGCTTCATTTGTGGTTGGCGTTTTTGCGACAGGAACGGATTCACCTAGTTCGGGTTTAGTATGGCTATTTCGAAAAGTCGAGGGTTTGCGAACCTGTCAGCATGCTCTCATTAACGATGCAGTCTCCACTTAGGAGTAAACAATCGCATGGAACTTGAGTCAGGGATGGATCGGAAACCTCATACACATCGCCTGGGGCTAGGTCGTGTGACTGAATAGTTCTCCCTATACATTATCAACATCTGACTCATAACGCTGTTTTTAGGAAGGAGAATCTAATCGGGTTTGGAAAGAGAAACTCCTACAGAATCCACTCCTCAACACTCGGACATTACATTCGAAGTGGGAGATTTCTCTAAGACGCCGCATTGTCTGATACTCAGAGTCAGGACAGCCTTTGAAAAGTCGAGGACTTTAGGGATAGAATACCGATCTTGTTTCTATGGTCGTTGTTGTAATACTGAAGACCGAAATAAGAAGAATACAGGCCGCATAATAATAATATTGATCCATTGACCAAAGGATCAAACTAGCAACCTGGAAGATGTAGAATGGGTGGAAAGCCTCGAAGCAGAGGAGATAAGCTGTTGTACACGACCATTAAAACAAAAAAAGAAAAGAAAAAGAGAACTCACTTCGTCGACCATGATTTGCGGGATACTTTTTTGCTGGATATCGATTATGTTCGGACCAAATATTTGTTCCCGAAAATCCCTCTCTTCCGCCGTTAACCCAATTCGCAAAGCTTTAATGCTTGTCCAAGAAGGATCTTTCCACCCGGTACACTGCAAAAATCGGTATTCGGCAGGATGGTAGTAAAAGCGAATATAGCGAAAATCCAAGAACCGTAGGGTTGAAATAACAGGGTCATACTCCTCATCAAATATGGGAGTGTCAACCTCCTTGGCCGGAGCGCCAAAGACCGTGGACAACGGGCGATCATACGGCTGGCTGACGACTTCGTGAACGGTCAATTGTGACCATTGGTCCTACTTCGTTTCAGTCGTGTCAATCGATTAGAAAAGGAGAGAAATATCTTACCTCGACTACAGCCCATTGACATCGGCATAATGGTGTTGGCGTGCCGATTAGTCTCGTACGCCATCGGGGAAGCCATCGAAAAAGAAGGTACCCTAAACCACATGATAGGAAGCAGACTGTAAGGTATAGGAGATAGCCAGAAATACTAGTGTTGAAACCCGCGATTACCACCGTCAGATCTTCCGTTGCGACGTATATTTTCTGGCTAGTCACCTCGTCAAGGGACTGTCGTCTCACTGAACCCTCGGGAGACTCGTCTCGATGTAGCAATGGAGCATCGAAGGAATCTCTGGCAACACGGGAGTCCATTGAAGCGCGGCTAGGACTTAGCGGTGCCTCCTCGATGTTGACCTCATTTCCTTCCGCATACCCACTTGCGACTTCATCTTCATCTCCAACGGCGTCTACAACTGCCCACTCCGGCACCTCCGAGGTTTCCCTGAAGTAAGTGAAACTGAGTTGCGATTCACGGCGAGATCGGCGAGGTACAAACGAGGCAGAGCTAGAGGGGATGCTCTCTGAAACGGGCCCCGCATAGATCTATCTCAACGTCAAAATTCATTCGTTCAGCTTCTCTCGTGGCAGGGAGTCAGAGGGTCCGTATACGGACCTCATCGTGCGCCATTTCAACATCAGATATGATACTAGAGCTACACATATAGTCAGTTATACGCCAGTGTATCTTGAACACGTTTTGTAATATAGCACGCACCTGCTTCTCACTGATGATCTTCGATGGCCGAGAGGGGGCTCCGGACCGCCAACCCTGTCCCACTCCGCAGAAGGCTCATGTCCCGCCATGATCCTCATGTACTTTTCACTCACCCTCAAACAATTCTATTTCCCTGGCGAACATTTTCCAACACGGGCTTGGGTTTTCTGGAGGACCTAGATAAGTCAAATTTCTGAAAGCCCAAGGTTTGCTCGCCAGAAGGCTTGGGGATAGATATGATCACGTGATCTATCTATAGAAATGGATGCAAGCGTTTGGACTCCTTTCGAGCGTAATATTATTCTAATAACTAATGTCGGGCTTTTGATCATTAAGTAAAGGACAGGGGGGTATCTTAGAAGCAATTGTCTGCTGGCACTTACTTGGGTATCTCCTCCTCTGGATTGTGCATGGGTTCAAGTTACTACATTAATTGCAGTATGATTTATATACACCAGTTAGATAAACGCTCCAGAAATTCGCCAGCCAAATGGACGTCTTGCGTTCCCACCAATCTACCTGCATCTACGCTGTATATGCCCCCGTAGCACTCATGTTCTTTGTTTGCTTTTTACTTTACTGCCAGGTTAACTAGCATTTTGTTTATTTTCGCAGACTCCGTGTCTGGACTGTGCCAAGCCCCCTCAACCAAAACCGCGCTAATTGTTCCCACCAAAAGGACCCCATCGATGCGTTTCGCCGCTGAGGAAAAAAAAACCCAAAACATATGGTCGTCTTCATCTCAATTCCTCCCTCTTCGTGACTCTCTCCTCCCATCACATCTCCTTTCCCAGCATCTCCCCAGTGCACTCTCTCTATCCCCCCAGCCTGCTCGGAAAGATGTCGGAACCCATCAGAAACAAGAAAGTGGAATTTCCCACAGCCCCGTACGTATACCCCACCCTACTCCATCCCCAAACCGTTTCTGACCGCTAATCATCGACAATCACAAACAGTACCCCCCAAAACACCCCAGCTAACAATGCTCCCATCTCCTCGCATGCCCAACAACCTGGTGTCGCCAGCATTAAAGAAGGTGTGTGGTTTGTGTTTATTCACATCCTCGTTGTGATTGAGTATTCGTCATTGTCAGCATTTTGTTATGTCAACTAACCTGAAGTGTTATGACTTGCAGAGGACCTCGACCGTGCAACGGCAGCTTCGCTCTTTGCGCAAAACCCAAAACTGATTTCCATGATCCAGGGGAGACTTGGGTCTTTGGTTGGCCGATCGTCTGGTTATGTGGAGTCTCTCCCTGCGCCCGTTCGTCGTCGTGTAACAGGCCTGAAAGGAATCCAGAAAGAGCATTCGAAACTTGAGGCGGAATTCCAACAAAAAGTCCTCGAGCTAGAAAAGGAATACTTTGCCAAATTTAAACCTTTGTACGCTAAACGTGCGACTATCGTCAACGGACAATCTGAGCCTACTGAAGATGAAGTACAGGCTGGTAAACCAGAAGATGAGGACGAAGAGCGGGATTCTAAGGCGAAGGATGAAGCAAAATCGGAAGATATTGATGTGCCTGTAGCCGCTGGTATTCCTGAGTTCTGGCTCTCTGCCATGAAGAACCATATCTCTCTTTCTGAAATGATCACCGACAGGGACGAGGAGGCATTGAAACAATTGACCGACATTCGTATGGAATATCTCGAACGTCCTGGTTTCCGCCTGATATTCGAGTTTGCTGAAAACCAGTTTTTTACCAACAAAACCATCTCTAAGACCTATTACTATCAGGAAGAAAGCGGTTACGGTGGCGATTTCATTTACGATCATGCCGAGGGCGATGAGATTGAATGGAAAGAGGGCAAGGACCTTACCGTCCGATACGAGAGCAAAAAGCAACGAAATAAAAGTAAGGATTTTGTTCAATCCAAGTGCGTCAAACATCAATATTCTAACCGTCGTTATTTATGAAATCTAGGTACCAAGCAGACCCGCGTGGTAAAGGTCAAGGTTCCCACAGATTCGTTCTTCAATTTCTTCTCCCCACCAAAAGTGCCAGCAGGTGGTGACGATGACGCGGCATCCGATATTGAAGAGCGACTGGAGTTGGACTACACTCTTGGTGAGGACATCAAGGAGAAACTCATTCCCCGAGCCGTCGACTGGTTCACCGGAGAAGCTCTTCAATTTGAGGAATACGATGAGGAGATGGACATGGACGATTTCGATGACGATGATGAGGATGACGACGACGATGACGACGATGAGGACCGGAGAACGGAGGGAGAATTGGATGACGAAACCGATGAGGAGGTAGGAAAACTCGAGATTTCTATTCCAATCCAAGAATACGTATAGCTAACTCAGATTTACCAGGACGATGGAACGAAGCCCAAGAAAGAGGCTGCGGAATGCAAGCAGAGCTAGAGAAGGGCTTTTCTTTCTCTTTCTTTTCTTTTTCTTCATAAAAATAGTTTGTCTTGTGCTTCTGGGAGTCCCGTTTCCTCTCCCTTTTTTATCAATTTTAAACCACATGGTTACCAACCTGTTTGTGTTTATTCTTCCCCTCTCTTCTCTCTCTCTCTCTCTCTCTCTCTCTCTCTCTCTCTCTCTCTCTCTCTCTCTCTCTCTCTCTCTCTCTCTCTTTCTCTCTCTCTCTCTCTCTCTTTCTCTCTACTATGCTCCATAGTTCATGTCCATGTGCAATTTTCCTAGTTTAAGTTCCTTTCTTCCTTTTTATTGCGTTATGCACCGAGATTGAGCCTAATAATACATATATAATATGGACAATAGCATCCGTCCTTCTTCTTACTTCGTTCCTTTGCACTCCCTTCTTTCCGTCTGTTGCCCATTACCATACCTAACCCCCCTATCTTTGAAAGGAAACACACATAGCGCCGCCTCTGCCGCTATTCTTTCTGGTATGTGTGGTTGGTCTGTTATGTATTTATGATAGCTAGAGATGAATTTCCGGTACTTATTACACACCTCTCACCCTATCCTATCCATTTTACGATCGTTTTCAATAGAGTTCTGGGCAAACAGAACCCAACGAAAGTCATTATTTGAGCTTCTTCTTTTCTGTTTTTTGTTTATTCTGGGGGGTTCTTTTTCTCAGTAATAGAATAAATTAAGCAAAGAAATTTGTAATATCACCTGCTCGTTTCTGCTGATGTGGTAGTTAGTTTTGACAGATAAGTTTATGTATGAATAGGTCTATATCTACATGGAGGGATACATTTCAATTTGATGAATGTGCACATGCACAGTACAATGTATGATGCGAATAATGAAACAATAAATGCACGTCTTTAGAGCAAAATCTCAAACACAATCCTATATTTTTGAAACAACGATCGTCCTGTTCCCAAACATCTCCCGGCTTCCAGGCTCGTGTGGGAATCACGTGGCTCTCCACTCCGTGCCACGGAGGCTCGAAACTCTCCCGCTGGAACCATCACAGCACTGCTCAGGGGCAGTCCCAGCTCGCTAAAACACCCCAACCTTAACAACAGGCTTGTTCATTTGGCTTGCTGCCCCCTGGACTGTCGTTTTCGTTTTTGCTTGCTTGTCTATCCGTCTGTCTGGAAACCCTGGCGGTTTTTGGTTCTCCAGCACCATCTAGGCAATCTTTCTTTTTTTTTTTGAGGGGGCCCTTACGAATCAGAACAGCGTGCAACTTCAATTGCCTTGGGCTGCACACCGTTTGCTGGCCTTTCTCACGGCGAACCCGTTTCACATTAATCTCTTGTTATCCTGTTGGTGTCGTCGTTTTGGCCTCGATTTTGAATGCGGGAACGCGAACTGTCAAACTCAATCCATCATCAGTCTTGCACCGCGGGCATTTCGAATTTCTGGATAAAACACCTCCGGTGCTCGGTACGGAAAGCGTATCTAACGATCTGTCCGTGTTGTGGTGTTGGAGTTGCAGTTTGCAAACATGGTTCACATATTCGACGTCGGTACCCGGGCATGGCAGCCGGACCCGACAGAAGGATGGGTAGGCTCTGAGCTTGTTGAGAAGTTGGTGGATGGGGACAAAGTCGTTCTGGTCTTTTCCCTGGAAAACGGAGAGGTTAGCATAATTCCCATTTCCATTGAAGCTCTGTACATATATACTCGTGTTTATGATTGTACAACTTTACACCTGGAAATATTACTGACAAAAATCCTATTTTGCCTCGCCAAAAAATAACAGACCAAGACAATCGAAACGACAGAAGCTGAATTGCAACTTGACAACAATGGATCCCTTCCACCGCTAATGAATCCATCCATGTTGGAGGCCAGTGAGGACCTGACGAATCTATCCCATTTGAACGAACCAGCTGGTACGTTTCGTGTCGCGATATCTCCATACTTGGAGATCTATTCCTCTCTGACGGATCTGCTATATAGTGCTACAAGCCATCAAGCTCCGATATGCTCAAAAGGAAATATATACATACAGCGGTATTGTTCTCATCGCAACGAATCCGTTTGCTCGGGTCGATTCGCTCTACGTCCCGCAGATGGTTCAGGTATATGCCGGGAAACAGCGGGCCACACAAGCTCCTCATCTTTTTGCTATTGCTGAGGAAGCATTCTCGTGAGTAAATATCCGTCTACCTGTTGATGCTGATCTAGTGTCTATTTTCTGATTTCGGAAATACACAAATGTAGTGATATGTTGAGAGACGGCCGAAATCAAACGATCGTTGTGTCCGGCGAATCCGGAGCAGGAAAGACTGTGAGTGCGAAATATATCATGAGATATTTTGCCACGAGAGGGACTCCCAACCAGGGATCATACAATGCGGGAAGGGCGGATTCAATTAGTGAGACAGAGGAGCAAATTTTGGCAACAAATCCGGTCATGGAGGCGTTCGGAAATGCAAAGACTACACGTAACGACAATTCTTCCCGATTCGGAAAATACATTGAGATTATGTTTGACGACAAGACAAATATTATTGGCGCGAAAATAAGAACATATCTCCTTGAGCGTTCAAGACTTGTCTTCCAACCTCTGAAAGAGAGAAATTACCATATTTTCTACCAACTAGTTGTTGGAGCTACGGACTCGGAACGGCAAGAGTTGGGCCTCTTGCCCATTGAAGAATTCGAGTATCTGAATCAAGGAGGTGCTCCAATGATTGATGGGGTTGACGATAAAGCCGAATTTGACGCCACAAGGAAATCACTTACGACAATAGGTGTAGCAAAGGAGACCCAGACTGATATATTCCGCATCCTAGCTGCTCTCCTACACCTAGGAAATGTTAAAATTCAGGCCACTCGAAGTGATTCTTCTCTTTCTTCCACGGAACCGTCTCTTGTGCGCGCATGCGAGATGCTGGGTATAGAAGCGGGCGAGTTCTCAAAATGGATTGTGAAAAAGCAACTTATCACTCGCGGCGAGAAAATTACATCGAATCTTACCCAGCAACAGGCTGTAGTTGTCCGAGATTCCGTTGCGAAATTCATTTACTCAAGCTTGTTCGATTGGTTAGTGGAAACCATTAACCGCGGGCTAGCTACGGAAGATGTGTTAAACAGGGTAAATTCCTTCATTGGAGTTCTAGATATTTATGGTTTCGAACATTTCGCCAAAAACTCCTTCGAACAATTTTGCATCAATTATGCCAACGAGAAGTTGCAGCAAGAATTCAACCAGCATGTGTTCAAACTCGAGCAGGAGGAGTATGTCAGGGAAGAAATCGATTGGAAATTTATTGATTTCTCAGACAATCAACCATGCATTGATCTTATTGAAGGAAAGCTCGGAGTCCTATCCTTGCTGGATGAAGAGTCTCGGTTACCAATGGGCTCTGATGATCAATTCGTTACAAAGTTGCATCACCACTTTGGGTCAAATAAACAAAAGTTCTACAAGAAACCTCGATTCGGAAAGTCTGCCTTCACTGTGTGCCATTACGCTGTCGATGTCACGTATGAATCTGATGGATTTATTGAAAAGAACAGGGACACTGTTCCGGATGAGCATATGGAAATACTCCGTAAATCCTCCAACGGCTTTGTCAAAGCCGTTCTCGAAGCAGCCTCCGCTGTACGTGAGAAGGACTCCGCGGCAGTGTCCTCACGTCCAGTTGCAGCACCAGGGCGGAAGATCGGTGTTGCAGTCAATCGCAAACCTACGCTTGGCGGCATTTTCAAGTCATCTTTGATTGAGCTTATGAACACCATCAACTCGACTGATGTTCATTATATTCGCTGTATAAAACCTAATGAGGGCAAGGAAGCGTGGAAGTTTGAAGGGCCCATGGTTCTTAGTCAGTTGAGGGCGTGTGGTGTACTTGAAACGGTTAGGATAAGCTGCGCTGGCTACCCGACCCGCTGGACATACGAAGAATTTGCTCTCCGGTACTACATGCTCTGCCACTCTTCTCAATGGACGTCTGAGATTCGTGACATGGGTCATGCAATTTTACGAAAAGCTCTTGGCGATGCCAGCCATCAGCAAGATAAATACCAGCTCGGCTTGACAAAGATCTTTTTCCGAGCAGGCATGCTTGCTTTCCTTGAGAATCTCCGCACTTCACGGTTGAACGAATGTGCAACAATGATTCAGAAGAACTTGAAATGCAAGTACTATCGCCGCAGATACCTTGAGGCTCGCGAGTCTATCCTTACTACACAAAGCGTGATCAGGGGGTTCTTGGCGAGACAGCGCGCCGAGGAGATTCGTTGTATTAAAGCCGCCACAACAATTCAAAGAGTTTGGCGTGGTCAGAAGGAGCGAAAGCATTATGTCAGTATTCGGAACAATATCGTTCTTTTCGAATCCGTTGCGAAAGGCTACCTTTGCCGGCGCAACATCATGGATACCATCCTTGGAAATGCAGCCAAGACCATTCAGCGTGCATTCCGGTCCTGGCGTTCAATCCGTGCTTGGAGACAATACCGCAAGAAAGTCATTATTATTCAGAATCTTTACAGAGGAAGAAAGGCACGGCTTCAGTACAAGAAGTTGCGTGAAGAGGCAAGGGATCTTAAACAAATCTCTTATAAACTAGAAAACAAGGTCGTTGAACTTACTCAATCCCTTGGGACTCTTAAGCGAGAGAACAAAACTCTTACAACACAACTCGAGAATTATGACAGCCAGCTCAAATCCTGGAGAAGTCGACACAATGCACTGGAAGCTCGCAGCCGAGAGCTACAAGCCGAGGCGAACCAAGCTGGTATTGCCGCTGCACAGTTGACTGCCTTGGAAGAAGACATGAATAAATTGCAACACAACCATGCCGAGGCATTGGCCACCGTCAAGCGACTACAGGAAGAAGAAAAGGTGTCGCGCGAATCTCTCAAGGTGGCAACTGCCGAGCTTGAAAAACTGAGACAAGCCAATGCTGACCACGAAGTCGAGAAAGAATCCCTTCGCCAGTTAATCACTGAATTACAAGATGAATTAGAGCTTGCTAAGAGGGCTGTACCTGTCAATGGGGTTAGTGGAGATCTTCAGAACGGGGTCACCTCTCAACCTGGTATTACTGGGTTAATCAATCTGGTTTCATCCAAGAAGCCCAAGCCGAAGAGACGGAGTGCTGGCACGGAGAAGATAGACGTCGATCGGTTCAGCGGTGCTTATAACCCACGGCCAGTATCGATGGCTGTGCCTAGCGCTGGCCGCCGTTCCAATCTATCTGGTTCTACTTTTGCTCCAGGAGTGGACTCTATTGAAATGGAACTGGAGACGCTGTTATCTGAAGAAGACGAGCTCAACGACGAAGTTACGATTGGTCTTATCCGCAACCTTAAAATTCCTCTTCCTGGCTCTACTCCACCACCAACCGAGAAAGAGGTTCTTTTCCCATCATACCTTATTAATCTTGTTACGTCCGAGATGTGGAATAATGGCTTTGTCAAGGAATCCGAACGCTTCCTTGCTAATGTAATGCAATCTATTCAGCAAGACGTCCTGCAGCATGAAGGTGAAGATGCAATTAACCCTGGCGCGTTCTGGCTTTCCAACGTTCACGAGATGCTATCCTTTGTTTTCCTGGCTGAGGATTGGTATGCGGCTCAGAAAACCGATAGCTACGAATACGATCGTCTTTTGGAAATTGTGAAACATGATCTAGAGAGCTTGGAATTCAATATATACCACACTTGGATGAAAGTTTTGAAACAAAAACTTTACAAGATGGTTGTCCCCGCAATTATCGAGTCGCAATCACTTCCAGGATTCGTTACCAATGAAACTAACCGCTTCCTCGGGAAACTCCTCCCATCTAACACCCCTGCTTACAGTATGGACAATCTCTTGAGCCTTCTTAACAATGTATACAAGGCGATGAAGGCGTACTATCTTGAGGACTCGATCATCTTGCAAACAGTCAATGAGCTACTCCGTCTTGTCGGCGTCACGGCATTCAACGATCTCCTAATGAGAAGAAATTTCTTGTCCTGGAAGCGTGGTCTACAGATCAATTACAATATCACTCGGATTGAGGAATGGTGCAAGAGCCATGACATGCCGGAAGGAACCCTGCAGCTCGAACACCTCATGGTAAGTTCATGGTTTCTCTGGCGAATGTGGATTTTCGGCTAATGAATCCCCTATTTTAGCAAGCGACGAAATTGCTTCAGCTCAAGAAGGCAACTCTCAACGATATCGAGATCATTCAAGATATTTGCTGGATGTAAGTAAATCGTCGTTCCCGCCGTATCCCTTTCTACATAATTCAAGGTTCTAATCATATTTCTCCAATAGGCTCTCGCCAAATCAAATTCAAAAGCTCCTCAACCAGTACCTGGTCGCCGACTACGAACAGCCTATTAACGGCGAAATCATGAAAGCTGTTGCCTCTCGCGTCACTGAAAAGAGTGATGTCCTCCTCTTAACCGCTGTTGACATAGAAGATAGCGGGCCCTATGAAATCGCCGAGCCACGCTCAATTAATGCTTTGGAAACATATACCCCATCATGTAAGATCTATATCTACACATACCCAGTGCAAGGCACCCCAATGATATGATTTGAGCTATACTAACATAAACCATTAGGGCTCCAAACACCCCGTCTAAAACGCCTTGCAGAGATTGTCTCCATACAAGCAATGGCACAGCAAGAGAAGCTTGACATGGCTGATGGCCCCGACGCCCCCAGCGATTCCTCATAAATAAAATAGCGACGCATTTCATCTTCATTTCCCCCGCGTGCCCAATTGCTCATCCCTTGTGTGTATCTATCCTTAATAGTATTTGGGAGCCCGCCTCGATTATGGTGATTTAATTGTATCCATCTACTCTCCCAAATTCGGCGTCTGAGTCGCTGCCCGCTCTATAGACCTTGGATGAGTGGAAGCGATTTTCAAAGACCGCTCCCTCCGTCCGTTGCTCATTGAATATTATTTATCTTTCTTGCTTCGCCGTTCGGCCTCTCACCGCGCCTTTTGACAAACCCGATGTTTCTCGTTTTTCCCTCATTTAAATTCTACTTGGTTTTGTTTTGTTTGCTATGAGGAATTTGTCTACATCCATTTCCTTTTTCAATTCCGCAAAACTCAATCGAAACCCCACCGTTCTCCTGTACCCCAATGTAATTCTTACTCCGCTTGTGTTATGGTCTCCTGCTATTGTTGTTGCTATAAGTCTTCCCTGGTGTCCTACACACAAATTAACAACAAACTCCCACCCGTCTTCCCCAACAATGCGCTAGAAGATATACTCTCTCAACTGGACTCCATATATAATTTTGCTAGCGATGTTTCGCATTATTTTCTAAGAAATTCTTTGATTTGATGTGGTTGAGGTAAAACTAATTTTGCCAGTTTTTTTTGGGTGCTTTGGAGTGGCAGGCAGGGAATCTCGAGTTCCAAGAACACGGGATTCCAGCTTCTCTTTATATCAATCAAGCCAGGTTTGCCCCATTTTGTTTGCGAGATAGCACATATGTAATGTATTCTAGATCCCATTTTGCCAGCCTAGCCGAAATTACATAGATAGCGAGATGTTTATTGTTAGATTCTAGGAAAACACTCATTCCCTAATTTAACTAGTTATACTAATTTTGAATTTTCCTCACGTACGAGATCACAGTTGAGAGATGCAATGATGTAATGGGTGGGTAAGAAGATTCTTGGCAACGCTTTTTCGATAAACGTATCTCATCTGATAAGAGCTTGAAATCTCCCAAATCAATTGTTCTTTCTTAAATTTTCTACAAAGTACAGCACATTCCTCACACAACAAGCCCCCTCCCAGTGAGTATTTATCTGAAACAAGACAAACGAAATTAACTCCAGAAGAAAATATCTGGCCCATCCTCCACTTAACCAATATCACTTAGCGGATAATCCGATCACCATCTTCTGCCCTCCACCATGAAAACAATCAACTTCATCACAGGCAACAAAAATAAACTAGCTGAAGTCCAAGCTATTCTAGGGGATACCATAGAAGTGCAGAATCGGGCTATCGATGTGCCTGAGATACAGGGTTCGATTGAAGAGATTGCAAAAGAGAAATGCCGTAAAGCAGCAGAGACGGTATGTGCTGGAGTTTGATTTTTAATTATGGTCAATGAATATGTCGGAGATAGATTTATTTCAAATGATCTAATATACCACCTTTGCGGATTTTTTCCCCTATCACATTGGGATGGTTTGATTTGATTTTTTTAAAAAAAATAAATAATACAGGCCACCTAGCTAAATTCTGGGTGATATTGAAATGGATAGGTACAAGGGCCAGCGTTGACGGAGGATACAGCTCTGGAGTTCAATGCATTAAAAGGGCTGCCGGGGCCATATATGTAAGGAGTTTCCTCTGTCCTTTTCGACTTCATCCTTATCAAGCACCAAGCAACGTCCCTTTTGATTTCCCTGTGTCCCTTATATACATGTGCACACTCTATAAAACAGACGTTTACGCTGGGGTGGTGACGAATTACAAGAAATTTGAAACTGACAACAAAGTTGTAGCAAGTGGTTTCTCGAAGCCCTAGGTCACGACGGGCTTAATAAGTTGTTGGATCCATATGAAGACAAATCCATCGTAGCAGTGTGCACGTTTGCGTTTTCCAGTGGACCAGGTGCGGAGCCAATCATTTTTCAAGGAAAGACTGAGGTATTGTTATCATTCTGCTTCTCAATCCGAACCGTCTAGGAAATTGTTGATATAGAGGCCCAGTAGATCGTAATTTCATCCTGACATGTGAATTTTCCTTATGGTAGGGTCGAATGGTCCCAGCCAGGGGCCTGGCGAAATTCGGTATAGCCCCGTTTACCCAATAGGGCCGTCACATCCCCTTCCCTTTTTAAACCAGCGAACAAAGGATTGAATGAGCTGACCATGATTGCACCGCGTAGGTTGGGATCCCATATTCGAGTATGAGGGGAATACGTTCGCGGAGATGGACAAGGACGAAAAGGTAGGGAGGGAAAAAGGAGTCCAACCATGTCTACCCAACGCTGGATTGTCAGAAAATATATCTGACCGTATTGACGCTGAGTGTTTGCAACAATCTAGAACCTTATCTCCCATCGATACAAGGCGCTTGCGAAGTTGAAGCAATGGCTCGCGGAGACATATCCTTGATATTCTGCCATATATCTTAGAACTTTAGGAGGCGAAAAGAGGTTCTATTCAGCCGGAGCTTTCCACACGAGCCTTTTTCCAAGAATCTATCCAAGCTTCGATACGCGCGCAATTACTTTCAATGTCCTCATCATTCTCGCTCGTCAATTCAACAACGATCTCCTCATCGTATGACTCCCTAGCCTCTTGGAGGAGTACATCGAATATTTCCACGTCAAGATTCTCCTGCAATTTGAGCTCCGAGTAGCCTCTGTGATTAACCGCAACCAATAAATAAATAAACTCATTAGTCCTTCTATCCCTTTCTAACGATCTTCCATATACTTGTGAGGAAACAGAGGGCACAATAAAATTCAGCTCACCTGGCGGCAAGCCGGTCATATAATATAGAAGTAGAATTGCACCGGATAACCACGACTAGGTCAATCCAAGACTTGGGGAAGAGGTCGCAGGCATGCCAATCAATAAGATACCCGCCCTTTGGCACATCCTTTTCAATCGCATCCAGGAGCTACACCACCGCAAACGCATTCGCATTTCACATTAGCCCTATATCCCCGCCCTTACTTGCATCGAGAGTAGATATCATAAAAAAATTATAAGAGAAGCACGTCGTATACATACCTTATCATCATCCACAATATAACTTTGAAATGTATCGTCATATCCTTCATGGCAATTGTGCTCCTTCACTACCTGGTTAATTGACAGGTGTCGCAGGCCCGTGTCCTGAGCTAACTGCTCGCAATGGACAGTTTTGCCTACGCCAGGCGTGCCAGTGATGATAATATTAGGGAGTGTCCTCATTTTTGTTTTGCGAGTGCGTGCGGCGGATGATAAAGTTAGATGTAGGAAAGGAAGAAGGACAAGGAATGTGCGGGAGATATTGCGATGCTGAAAAGAAAATAATATAAAACTGTTTGGGCGTAATTTGTCCGATATCTAATACAGAATCACGTGTAGTTTACAGGCTAAATTTAAAATTTACGCTATATGTGCCATACACAAGGAACTTTGAAAACTTATCTGACTCGATCGTCATCGGTGGAAAAGCACCAAACTAAAACGCCGAATCTAAGGGATAACCTTTACATGTGTGAATATAGGAAAAAACAGGACTCAAACGAAAACTCAAAATGGAAACTCCCCTGATAAATAATTTATAAATCAATACTTTGCAACCGTCAATGACCTGAAACAAGCATGACAAACATTCTCTCAAAGAGATCATCGCCTTAGTTTGTGCGGGGGAAGTAAAATTGGAGGTGGAAAAATATGCAGTGTTAGCCAGCGCGCCCTTATTTTTCTGGCTCCAATGGAATCTCCCATCTCATTGATGGAGACAACCTATTTTACCTTTGTTAGTGGTAAATTCCCATCAATACACCTAAAAAAGTATATATATGTAAAGGGGGAAAAGAAAGGAGATCAACTCACTTGAGAATTTCAAACTCCTTGTACTTGTGGAGGTAGCCGGGACCCCGCCGGTACGCCTTTATAAGGCAACGTGGGTCCTGTGGCCTCGCTCGGATGTTGCCAATAAGTCTCTCAATTGCGGGTGACGTTTTGAACATCGGGTCGAAGACGAGGAGGTTGGGGCTTCCACTCTTACGTATTTCGAAACCAACGATTGTCAGAGAGTGCCCTAATATTTTGCCAAAGCATTAATATATTAGTGTGAAAACTTCTAGTAGGGATATGTTGTCGACGCTGCTTCTGTTGTGGCCTGGATACCTTGGTGCTGGAGATAGATAGGCGGTAACTCTGTTTGGTTTATCCTTTCGCCATTTGTCGGGCAGGCTTGGAGGAAGTATGCTAATATATCATCAAGAAGGGCTTGGTAAGCAGAAATATCTTGTGTAGTACCGAAGGCGCCAGCCTCGCACCTAGCCAAATGGGTTAGATTACTCGGTCAAAAGAATGACAGCCGGCTAGTGGAATTGGGTACATACTTAACCCCCAAACTAAGAAAAAGGGCTTGAGCCTGATCATGAATCAGTAAAAACATGCATATCACTATCCACCGTTACTCAGCCTTTTTTTTGTCGAAATATTTTAAATACCTCGGAAGTCCCAATATATTTCCTTGTTCCCTTAATCCCCCCTGTTTCTATTTGCGCATTACTGTTAAAACCCAAGTCCCAGGCTTGCTCAATAAGGTCCTGTAACCGCAAGATTGTAGGGAGCCTTCCAGGAAATTGTTCGTAGCCATCGGCACGGGTATCTTGGATATGGGAAACCAGCATCTGGATATTTCTATACCCGCAAAAGCCGCCTTCTTTAGGCATCTTGAATACATGTCGGACGGTGGGGTGGCAGAGGAATACCTGCTCTACTGTTTCATCCAATTCGCAAAGTCGAGCAAGAACCGGGATAAGATTTGACATCTCGTTAGCCACATGTTCAACCCTGCGGAGAGTGCCGTCTGTTTGAATCTGGTTAGATACGGTGACTTTTGCGCCTTCTTCCAACATATTCCTTAGCCATGATGGCATTTGCTTTTCGTGTGCGTATGGTCCTAATTCCGATCTCTGGGTGGGAGAATGAGATGAATCAGCAAGCTGATGGAGTATATGAAGCGAGGCAAGAAAAGGGGAAAGTCAATTACTCCAAGTCGACGCAGAAAACTTCCAGCAGCATCACGGCTCCCTCGTTTTGATTTGCGTTTCTTTTTTTCCGATGGACCTAATGCTGCCTTTGAATCTCTATGGGAACCCTTGCGAGAAGATTTTGGTTGGAGAATATTGTCTCTGTTGCGAAGCTCCTTGGGTAGCTTTGTAGAAAATCGACTTTCGATATCGTCGTGTATATAATCTGTATTTGCATCAATCTCCTCCCCCTCGGATTCACACTTGGAAACCACGCCACCAGATGCATCTTCAAAAGCCATTTCTTCAGCTATATGAAGGTCCAGATGACTTGAAAGCTCAGCGGTAGAGATAATTTCGCCGCATCCATGAGGGCAGTCAACGTAGCCACTGAGTGGATCATCATCATTGGCAACGGGCCCTGTATAATCTACGGGGGAATCCTTTTTGTCAGTGTTGCTGTGATTCAAATCCTGAGCACTGGCACGGGGTTCCTCGATCGCAATGAACGGAGATGTTCCATTTTCAGGATGGCAAAGCTCTACATGTTGAGTTAGGAAATAAGGATCAGAATCAGAAAAATCACAGAATGGACAGGGCAGGATATCGATTTCCATGCCGCCCTGAGCCATCAGAAATAAGCTCTTGGAAAATCAGGGGCGGGGGGAGGGGTCCGGGTCATCGAAATATTGCCCAGAGACAAAACGCCAAATAGGCCCTTTAATCAAGATGACGGAATTTAAATAGGCTAAAAGTCCCCTTCCTGCATTGGTTGTTCTCTCCACGCCGCAGCTACACACGTTACGACTGCGGCTGGTGAAGGGACGCGGATGTTGGAATCGATGACAGCAGTCACATCCAGCCAGTGATTGGCTCTTGATTATTAGCCCTGTAGAGTTTAATGCTAGTCATATCTGGTTTAGCGTAATATAACTTCCGCTCGTAGCAGACGAATCTGTTGACGCAGGATCATATACCCTACGCTCGCGGTGAAGGGGGCGGGACTAGCATTCATTGGCTTCATGTTGCCAGCTCGCAGCTTGACGATATTCCCGGGGATATAGGTCATTACAAGTCCCATGGTCGTCTGCAACAACAATAGCATTTACCTGTCGCATTGAATGGAATGTAGACAACTAAGCTGGCGATTCAGTATAATTGATCCGTTAGATTGAAGCGAGAGATATTATATACTTATACATAATACAGTAGCATTAATATCCAGAAATATATATATTTTTAAATACTTTAATAATTTAGAGAATTCTTCTCTTTTGATTAAAAGTACAAATATCTTTCATTAACTAACTGTTGATATTTAGATTAGTGATTAAAATAGATAACTATATCTTTTGTGCTGGTTAACGGGGCGCCCAGCCCGCCGGGCCCAGTTGTCGCTGGTCTCGGAACCACATTAGACTGCACCTCCCTTTACTGATCCATCTCTGGTCGCTGTGTCCTTCAAAAACGCCGCTGCCGCTTTCCACAATTCTCCTGGCCTGCAGGGCCAGCCGATCGCATGGTTCTCTTCTTGGGCGGCGTCTCGGTCTAGTAGCAGATCGATGCCGATAGTAATCTGAAGCAACTTTTGTCCCCCCCTCAGAGCTTTGTATGATTTTTAGAGACTTCGCTTTGCTCCGTCTAATAATAGTTATTATAAACTGAATAATCCATCTTAAAACATTTTTTATATCAGATTAGCTAAAGTCATTAGAGAACGCCTTCACTAGCAGATGAATAAAGAAATAAACAATCATGTAACTGTATTGAAATTTAATACTCTTTCGTCGACCTATCACTTGCATGGCCCAGCCACCACTTTGATAGCTGAATCAAAAGTTTGTGATTCCGGTGCTCCAAGTCATACAGTCCAGTGGCACGCACCACAAGCTCCTTGCCATTGAAATATGCCTCCAGGACCCGGATATGGTGCATTCCTACCACAGAAAACAACAAAACCTGTGAAGGGAAGTGTTAGCATTTTATGCCACTCTTTGCAAGACATTTCTTGAAAAGGCTTACAGGAGCAATGATATGCGGGCGAAGCGACTTCGTGTTTAGCCGCCGACACATCACATCAATAATGGCTAGTAGCTCTCCACGAAAGAGTTCATCCCTATTTCCAATTATTCCACTGTACATCAGGACTTTCATATGGGGGACCGTCGCGTGCGCTATATTCCAGGCTGCCTGCACCTGCCACCGGGGATGTTTGGATACATCCATCAACTTCCCAAATTTGAAGCTTCCGAAACTATAAGCACAGTGAGTGGTGAGAAGCTATATCTGAGAACAATCAAGCGGGGGAAACAAACTCAACATAGGATGAACCAGGGGGATTCAGATCGTGGTTTGGCAGGATGCAGTTCTGAAAGTATTGGTTTAGATACCAGCTCAGATTTTCCGCATTTCGAAAATATGACTCATCAAACTCAGGGTAATAATTGATGAGGGTATCAATTTCCGGCGGCTGGATCAGAGCGCTGTAAGGCCTAAAGAAGAGCGGCCTGTTTTCTAGTGACATTGACATCAAAAATTGCTGTATACCCAAATCCGTAAGGTCAGCACCTGAGATACAAGGGTTATTTAATTGTTCAAGGGATTCTTTGATGGCTCGCAGCATCATTCGATGCGATTTCCGCTCTTGGAGGTTATCGGCTGCCATAACTCTGGGGGATTTGTGTGGTCAGTGGATTTGACCTTCAGTGAAAGGCTGGGGAGGGGTGGACATTTGATATGGTGGGAAGGAGATCTGGGTGAACAAGATCTCTCTCCACTAGCGGGTAAGCACTTCAAGTACCACTACCAACAATGACTGCGCAAGCTTCACTAAAGCCAGCAAAGGCATCACCCTTCTCATCAATAATATGTCCAGCACGCATTAGTTACTGTCGAGTCTGCATGAATGGCGAGATCTCGCTAAGACGAATGGCTTGGCCGGTTCAACGATTCACACAGCTCGCCTAAGTTCAGCCTCAACAATTGAAGAAGATCAATATCTGTTGTTCCACATCTTGTGGAAAACCAAACAGTTACTGTGGCATCCAGTTTCCGAGCAGCAACTGCAAATGGGCCAATGCATTGCTATTGATTTCTAGATAAGAAAGCAAATGGAGAATCAATCAGATTGCCAAATGTTGCTGGCTATTCTTCTTCTTCTTCTTCTTCTTCTTCTACTTCCTCTTTATACTCGTACCCAAGCGGAGTTTATGACGAGTCCTTGTGTGATGTTAAATACAGGCGAGTTGGTTATAGAGGAGGAATGCTCGTGTTGAAACATGCCAAGAATATGACAAGAATATGACAAGAATATGACAAGAACAGAGGAAAATTAATGAAAGACAGGATTTAGTACATGAAATACAGGTTCCCAACAGGAACAACAAGCAAATTCAGATGTAAGGTCCACCAAAAAGGTACCTCTCCACCATTTAAGAAGGCAACCACACATACGGACTTGGCGGTGCAGGATACCTCTAATGTTATCTTATCGTTATCTTCTGAAGATAAAGAAAAAGAAAGGAATTAAGCGGGCGGCGCTGGATTGGATCTTAGCCTGAATTGCGTGATCCACCGTCGCCGTCTGTGGAAAAAAAAAGTTTGGTTTTTAAAACTAACTACGGACACACACTCCCACTGACTAACTAATTAAATGGGATTGGGTTTAGGGTGCTGATTAATTTTTCACGAGCAGCTCGATACAATTCTCTCCACGATCCTTTTCTTAATCCTCTTCTAACCCGTATGAATACCCACTATCTACAGCCTGCTACTACATCGCTGGTTGCATTGCGTAGTGTTTATTTTTACCTGAGAATGGATTTAAGAATCTCATTGAAAAATCTCAAGAACATGGCAGCTCTAGTTTATACATTCAATTGAGATTGAAGCATTTGATTTCACTCACATATAGTAAATCTTATAAAGCGTTTTTGCAAAGAGCTTCGTAGTGACGAAAAACGCTTTTCGATGGATGAAAATTATTATGTAGAAGCTATTCCCTATATGAACTAGTAGCAGTGTGATTATTAGAAGTTTGCGTGTCTGTAGTTGGCCAACTAAATCGCTATCTTTGGTATGGTCCGTTAGGAGCTTATTTTTTCATCAATTTACAAACCATTTAATTTTGCTCAATGTTCTTTTTTTAATCCTTTTTGGCTCAGCGCCCTGTGAAGACCCCTTATAATTTCTCGTCTCTCGGCTTTCCTTCCCCAATTCAAAACCCTCGTCTCTTAAGCTCTCGTACATTTATACCTCTCCTGGTTAGAACACAGAGCACACCCAAGGCTTATGCCTTTTCGCTTCGTCCTCCCCTCTTGTCACGCACGATGAGTTTACTCTCACACCTGGGCGTAAATGGAATCGACAACGTCCCTCTCACCAATGGTATAACAGCGCATCCTACAGAATGGGTTGTCCAGAAGTTTGGAGGTACAAGCGTGGGGAAATTCGCCGTTGATATCGTGGATCGTGTCATATAGTACGATTGCCCCTCTTTTCGAGCATTGTGCATCCTCCCATTTTTTTTCTTCTGCATAACCGGATTAACACTCTGCCTTTTCTATCTATAGTCCTAGTACTCTAACCCATAGAGTTGCTGTCGTCTGCTCAGCCAGAAGCAGCTCATCCAAAGCGGACGGGACGACCAATCGGTGAGTCATTCCATATACAACCGCCACCGGATGGCATACGCTTTTGGAGACCCGACTTTACTTCAATGAGCCTGCAAAGTGACGACTATCCCTTCTAGGTTACTTCGCGCCGCTCGCGAAGCAGGGGGAACTATGAAATCTACGTATTATGTTGCCCTCGTTGATGCCGTCCGACATGAACATGTCCAAGTTGCTCAGGACCTTCTCCGAAACCCAGAACTAAAGGAACAATTGATTAATGCAATCGAAAATGAATGCACGCACACCCTCAAAATCCTCGAAGCTGCTCAAACCCTTGGGGAAATAACTGCAAAATGTGTGGACAAAGTGATAAGCACTGGAGAGAAGCTAAGTTGTCGCATAATGGCAGCTTTGCTGGAGGATCACGGTGTTGAGTCGGAATACATCGATCTATCAGACGTGATCTATTTTGCGACAAGTACCCAGTCACTCGACCAGACGTTTTATGACCGCCTGGTTGTCGCGCTGGCCGAAAAGATTGAGGCATGTGGAAGTAAAGTGCCCGTGATCACAGGCTACTTTGGGCCAGTGCCTGGTGGCTTGCTGGACAAGATCGGCCGAGGCTATACTGACCTCTGCGCCGCGCTTGTCGCAGTGGGTATCAACGCACATGAGCTTCAGGTCTGGAAGGAGGTAGACGGTATTTTCACAGCTGATCCGCGAAAAGTACCCACGGCACGGCTTCTCCCGGCGATTACACCCGCAGAAGCTGCAGAATTGACATTCTACGGTTCTGAGGTGATCCACCCTTTCACTATGGAGCAGGTCATCCGCGCACGGATCCCCATCCGGATAAAAAATGTCATGAAACCCAGGGGCAAGGGTACAGTGATTTTCCCAGACCCCGCAGAACTAAACAAGACAGCACTAGGCCATGAACCAAAGATCTTCCGTACGCGGAGTCCCAGCATACTTTCACAGGATCAGCAGGGCCCGAAACGACCGACTGCAGTAACAGCCAAACACAAGATCCTCGTCATAAATGTCCATTCGAACAAGCGATCATTATCTCATGGGTTTTTCGCAGGAATTTTTTCTGTGCTGGATAAATGGAGACTCTCAATCGATCTAATATCCACGAGCGAAGTGCACGTGTCCTTAGCGCTCCATTCCGAACTGCCATTACTGAACGGCGTTGGCCAGGACGAGTACCAGATTATCGACGAAGACCTAAGAGGCGCCATCCAGGACCTCCGTCGGTATGGTACGGTGGATATCATTCCGCAGATGGCGATTTTAAGTCTCGTGGGACGGCAGATGAAGAACATGGTTGGCATCGCGGGACGCATGTTCTCGACGCTGGGGGAGCACAACGTCAACATCGAGATGATTTCGCAGGGTAACTACCCTCTTCTCCACGATATTTGGGTTCTGGTACCACATCTCCCTTTGTGGGCATAGCTAACTTTTCCTGTTTCAAATACCAGGTGCCAGTGAGATCAACATATCCTGCGTAATTGAAGAGAGAGACGCAGATCGCGCCATTAACATCCTCCACACAAACCTCTTTACCTTCCTTGATTGAAGCAAAACCACTTCGTCCGACCCCTTCTCCAACAAAGGGGTGACTGCAACCACCAGAGGGCCTTTCCAACATGCCTCATGAAATGAATCTTTACGATACCTGTGCTACTCACGTACTTCCCATTAATTTATATTCTACGGATTTATTTTCTTTTTCTGCAACGAGCAAATATGCATGGAAAAAAAAATTGCATGATACCAAGCACTCCAACGTGAATGTTTTCTAGATATTTCTTACTCATTTTGGCCAGTTCCGATTCCAACAACCGGGTATACAGGTCGAAATATAACACCACCACACACGCACACATTCTACCTACGCCTCCACCTACACAACCATACGCACGCTATTATAGAAAGTTATTTCTTCTTCTTCTTCTGCTTCTTCTTCTGCTTCTTCTTCTTCTTCTTCTTCTTCTTCTTCTTCTTCTTCTTCTTCTTCTTCTTCTTCTTTTCTTCTTCTTTTTTTTCTGTTTGGGGTTTTGGGAAAGAAACGCGCGGGAATATGAAAAACGCGTCTGGAGTTTCATATTATTCTATTCTTCTTTCTGGGATGTGGGAAGGGGGGACATTATATAGCATGGCATAAGGATTAAATTCTCGCAGTTGGGATGGGTTGAGATTGCCGACGAAAGAGAGGCGGGGGACGGATGGGAACGAGAGCGCCCGTGTCCAACCACGGTTAAAAGTTTTGCGCAAAACGAACACGCGTCGATACGAACGCGACGTGATTTTTCCTCATGATTCCCTTCAAAATTTTCCTATTTCGACTGTTGAGTGGACATCGCGGGACGGAAATGAAGGTGAAGGGGGCAGAAAGGAGCGGATTGGGTTCGATTGGATTCATGTTCCGCTGGCTCTCGATACCTTGGTTCTGGATGCGACATTGGAAAGCCGGTGCACCATCTTCGAAAGAATTCCTCGGGAACTCAAGAATGGCAGGGCTCTGGGTATACTGAGTCGAACTGGATGGATACAAAACCACCTACCATCAAAGCGGAAGGTCTTTGGCCCTTTGGCCTGATTCACAAAAGTAATTTTTACAAGTTACGAGTGAAAAGGGAAGGAAAAGCTCCAAAAGGCTCTCCGTCCAACGGGGGAAGCAGTGAAGGAATTTCGGAAAGAAAACGAAACAGCAAGGAGTCGAAAAAAAAAAAGCCCCGAAACCCACGAACTGCAAGTTGGCATTGTTTTCTTTCTTTTTTTTCAGTTCTGCCCTGCTTTTCCAGAAAGAATCTCGAGAAGTGGTGAAAGTGCGCAACCCAGTTACCAAAGGGTGCATTTCAACTTCCATCTTTTAGTCTTCTTCTTCTGCTTCTTTCTTCTTTTTCCTCCTCGCCCTTCCCATCGTTTTCGTCTCTTTCTCCCCACTCTCTCCGTGTGTGGATTGGTTCTTGGGAGGAAGATGGGGAACTAGGCTCTAATACTTGGGCCAGTTTCAAATGTATATCCATTTCCGATTCACTGACTGGATTTTGCGAAGCGAAAAGTAATAGAAAGCGAGCGAGCGAGCGAGCAAATAAAAGAGCGGTGATTAAGTTTTTCCTTGTCTTGTTCTTCTTATTCCTGTCCGCGTTTACGAGGCATTGGCGAGTCGTTTCCTCATAGTAGTTTCTGGTTCCCCCCCCCCCCTTCGCTTCATCAATACTGTACATAGACTACTGCAAGATTTTCAACCATTTAGGGTGATTTGTTTTGTTTACGTTGTGCAAGAACTCCCGAAGGGATATTTCGGTAGATCAACAAGTCAAAAGTAACGGAGAATTAAAAAAGAAAAAAAAAATAAAAATAAAGGGAACAAAACCAACAACGGCCAACCAACCGTTTCAAATCGCAGCCATTTCCTCAGCCTGGTTGGCGAACACGCCTTTTCCCTCTGCCACCAGCGCTCGGGAGGAATCGCCATTGGTAGCGAGAAGAATGGCAGCAACATTTTCGCGCCAGCCAAGACCCAGGCGCCGCGAGAAAGTTTCAACCAAGCCGACCTCCTAGGATCAAGGACCTGCCAGGCTTAGCGTGGGCGATGTGTGAGTTGGCAGAGCTAAGATGGCTCTAAGTGTATCTTGGCTGGGTATGCTGGTTCTGGCCATGATTACATGGAGGACATGGGAGGAGCGTGAAATATAAAATGAAAGATCAATACGCCGTACAAAACGCGTACTGAACCTCAAATGACTGCAGAAAGTTACAGATGAAGAGTTTGGTCAAGCTTCAGGCACCAAACTTTGAGCTTGATCAGGCTAAAGTGGAGAAAGGACAGAAGGAAGGGCAGAAGGAGGGCAGAGGGCCATTCATCAAAAAAGCACATCATCATCATCCCCACCTCCTCCCATTCATGGTCGTCGCACTGCTCACGATCGTTGTCCTCGAGGACAATTCGAGTAGGTGGTTGTGCCTCTCAGAGCCAGAAGGAAGGGAGGGCCACGTAAAGGATGAGGGATATTCATCAAAACACTTTTCCCCCAGGCATATATGGCCGTCGATGTGTGATCCTGGGTTGTTGTCGTTCCTCGGGTCCCCAAAACTCAGCGCCGCAATGAGGTACTTTCCTTGGAGTCATCGGGTTAGCAAGCCATAGGTATCAAGATGGCTCTCCTCATATTGCATTCTAATTTTCAGTTTACCTTCTTTCCCAGCTGAAGCACATTTTTTGTCACCGAACCGGTTCCTACATAGCATGTGGGTGTGATACCGTCACTTCTATCACCCCCTCGCACATCCAAGAACCTTTTCACAGCTCTTCTCAAGGACTGACCATTGGATTTCCATCACGAAATGGCACGGCAGCGTCGACTAGTAGCTCGTCAGGAATCAAGTCTCGTCGGCCCATCTTCACTAGTGTTTATTTATTTATTTATGTCATTCATTTTATCGTAAGTCGTACAGACAGGATTTAATCGCTCAGCCGGATAAGGAAATCCCATGCTGGCGACCTTGCTTTTGCAGGATCTCTCAATTGGGCTATAATGTTCCAGTTGTCCAGAGAGTTGGACGTTTTCGGCAGCGAGGGAGGGATGTGGCTGGTGACTCTGCCTTGTTTGGTGCTGTCCAACTCAACTCAAGCCTATTCTGTACCAATAGCTCATTGAGGAAGATAGAGAATAGATGTAAATCAAGGAATTGAGGGAAATATCTCCATCATCGATCAAAATGCACCTCAGTTAACAACTAACTGCCTCTGCCTGCTTTTGAAGTGCATGGGTGCATGGCGTATTAATACTTACACGTACCGTCATGACGCGTCTCGTTACCAGCGGAACGGCCTGGACTTGGCGCTGAGCCGCGAACTGGTCAACCGCCAGACTTGCGGTGTAAGTTACGCCGTATCGTGGTATTTTTGGAGATTCATCCATCGTGCAGTTGTGGATGGATGGAGATGGATGGATGAGTTCGCTATCTCCAGATTCTCTGCTTCTCTGCCTCTCTCTGCCTCTGCTCTGCTCTGCAATTCCGTCTTCTTGTCGCGATCGTTGAGGACATCCCGCCCGGGGTGCTGTGATCAGCCCGACCGTATCTGGGGCTATCTTGCAGTCTTCCCTGCTCGTTTCAAGGCTGCTGGTGGGTAACTTGTGTCTGGGTGGTCCGTTCCAAGGCTTCCCCTCAAACCATCAACATCCACCATCCGTCATCCGTCACCCATCTTCTCCCTCCATCCTCCATCTCTTTCCTCTCCATCATCCTCCGTCCTCAATTACCCATCACCCTGTCCCGATTCCCGCACTCGTTCTGCTCCAATTCCCTCGCATGCTTTGCCTCGCAGCTTGACCCCCGTCTTCGTCTGCCTGCCCTTGGCCCTCGCTGCTAACTAACTCGCTTCAGCTGCTCCAACAACAGCCACATCCCCGCTAGTGCAGATCTTGCCCTTCCCACAACCCGATCCCATTCTCTGCCTCAAACTCGACATCCTCATCTCCCAACTCGTTCCCCAACCGATCTCCCCACCCCCAGCATCATCATATCCGCCATTTTTTACGCGTCAAATCTCCATCCCTCTGCCGTTTTGTCCTTTGTAGGCCCCGCCATCGCCCCTTTCGCGATGGCTTCGACGCGTCAACCACCGCCCTTGCATATCTACCAGGACATCGGGCCTACTTCTCATCCTCCACCCCCGTCGGTGACTCAGCCTCCCAACAATCAACCTGTCGCTTTGAATCATCCCAATCGCCTGCAGCCCTCGCCCATGCCTCTGCAGCCCATGAGAAACGCGTCCATCAACAAGAATTTCGCTCTGAATCCTCTTCCTCCTCATGGCCAAACCAATGTCTCCCCAGTCAAATCCCAACGGCGTCCCAGCATGTCTGCTTCGGGCGGCTACCACCGCGACAAACTGAACTTTGTTCCGATTTCTGCACCTCATCCTGTCGCTTTCACTACAGATTCACCAACTAAACATTGCCATAACGGCCGGGCATATTCCCAGGCCGCGCCCCCAATTGTACAGCATGCTCTCTTCACCACCTTTTCCAGCATTCCAACAACGGACCATGGACCCGGAGCGCATCCTATCAGCATGCCGCACGATAAAAAATTTCCCAACACCCCTGGTTTCCACCAACATCCTATTGCATACTCGAACGCCAACCCAGCTAAACGGATGTTAAAGGAGCCTGCACCGTTGATGAGAGACCGCTCTTCCAAGAAGCTCAAGCGCGAGGAACCATCCGCCGTTCAGTTACCTGATCCCGTGGATATGCCTCTAATTGAAGATGATGGCTCAAAGCCCCCGTATAGCTACGCCATTCTTATCGGAATGGCCATCCTTCGCGCCCCAAATAGACGCCTGACTCTTGCTCAGATCTACAAATGGATCTCAGACACCTTTGCCTTCTACCGTGCTGGCGATTCAGGTTGGCAGAACAGTATTCGCCATAATCTAAGCTTGAACAAGGCTTTTATCAAACAGGAACGCCCAAAGGATGACCCTGGAAAGGGCAACTACTGGGCCATTGAGCCGGGAATGGAGGCCCAGTTTTTAAGAGACAAGCCCTCGCGCCGAAACGTGGTCGCTGGCCTTGCCCAATCCACCCCTCGCACAGAGCCGTGCATTGAATCGTCATTGCAACCTCACCTCTACTCCACGCCAATTGCTGCTGTCCACGCCACCGCTGATATAATTACAGCCCCTCCTGCCGTCAGTGTCACAGCTCCTTCTACCGACTCTGCTGCTCCTTCCTCCGCCCCCGGTGCCAGTGCACCCATCGCTCATACATCGACTTACATGCCACCCCCTACCGTTCAGCCATCCGACAAGGCTGCCAATGTAGACTTGTCTTCGGATGCGACTCTACCTGCCTCTGACCCTGCGCTCCAGGAAGACAGTGGAGATGAAGCTGGACGCCTTGCCATACCTCATTCAACCCGATTGCCCCACTCTTCTCCTCCGAACCCCATCCATTCTTCCCCTCCCATTGCGCCTCCACTCTTTCATCGTCAAGCAACTCCCCCAACTCCGTCCCGTCCGCTGACGGCTTCAGCTGCCATTCCGCGCTCAAGGAAGCGCAGCTCTGCCGCAATGAATGATAGCGGCTATTATTCTTCACTCGAATCTTCTGCCCTGCGACCACATAAGGCCGGTCACATCTTAACTTCTGATTTGGATATCGAACCTCCCCGTATTAAGCGAGGCCGCGCTGAAGAGGAAATTGCGCGCATGCGAAGCTCGTCCCATGACATTAGCCCGTTACGTATTGACGCACTCAAAGACAATATCCAGTTGATTGGGTCTTCACCTCTCCGACATGGATATAACACCATGCTTCCTCCCCCTATTACCCCTGCCATTAAATTCAAGAAACCAATCAAACCCCCTTCTTCAGTTTCTCCAAACACAAACTTACAAAACCACCGTAAGAAGATCCAACAAATGGTTAATTCTCCAATCAAGCGCTATGGTTTGACAGACGATATTCTCCCTTGGAGCCCTGCCTTCAACATCCAAGACGATACTTTCGTCTCGAATGACAATCTCAACATCCCGTTTGACATATTCTCTGAACAGTTCCCTTCGACTATTTCCACGCCTTCCCATGGCTCCCCAGAGAAGTGTTCAGCGAAGCATCCCCGTTCGGGCAGACTGAATCCAAGCAGCAATATGCTTGCAGATATCACTCATCTCCACGGCAATAGTCGACTAAACACTCCCACGCTCAAGCCGTCCAAAGTGAGAGGTCTGAAGTACAATGAATCTCCATCTAAAAACCCCAATACTTCGCAGTTCAACGACATCTCCCAGGATGACTTATTCTCATTTAATCTCTTCAGCGAAGATACTGCAGAGGTTGACGGAATCGATCTCTTGCAAGGGTTTGAGAAAATCGGTCAGTCGGGCAAAGCTGATAACTCTCCCAAGCAATTTCTTCAGAATCAGTCATATTTTGGATCCAGAGGCAACGCCACCAACAATAACCTGCGGCTTCAGTGAGGTAATCCAATTGAGCTACCCCGCTTCTAGAACAAAATTTCTCTCCACACTTGGATGGAGTGTTGGCGTCAATTCATACCATTTTTTGCTTCTTCTTTCGATGGTGGTTTTGGTCTCGCCTCGCTCTTCTTGTTTACACCTCTCCTTTTTGGTATCTTGCTCCCTTTTCCCAGCCGTTGGGTTTGGGTTTTTGGAGACAAGCGCCATATTTTAAATTTCTACAGTGCCCCTTCTAATTTTTGGATTCCATGACCACATCAAGTATGGTGTTAGGGTATGGCTTCCTCTATTATTTTCCGTCAACATCTAGAGCTACGGTTTCTCATGACTTTAATTTCTGGGAGGCCCTTTTTTCTCACAAGCGTGTCCGTTATGTGCTCTGTTGCGTTTCTTGTTTTGTCCTCGTTTTAATTTTCACTCTTACTCGATTACCTTTTTGCTGATAGTTTTGTCTCTTCTTTCTCGTCCTCTCCTCTAATGTCTATGCATATCCATGTCAAAGGGGTTTAATATTATATGTGGCTAATCTCTCTTCTTTTTGAGGATATCTTTTACAGCGCTTGGTGTTTTGAGTGTTATTTTATTGCCTGCCTCTCTGATTTTTCCCTGTGTTATCTTTCCTTGGTGGGAAACTTTGGGTTCTGATCGGAGCTTTGGTTTTGTTTTCATTTCTCTTTTCATTCATTCATTTTTTCTTCCTTTTTGTCTCCTACTAGCCAGGTACGGTCAGGCCGGTTTCGGAAAGGGAAAGGACAACTGGAAAGGGAACTGGAAAGGAAAGGATCAAAAATTGGGCAAGGGCAAGGCGCGTGAGGTTTTAATTCTTTCTTGTTCTTTTATGGGACGGTGATGAAACACGACGCTCATGATACTATGATATGTTTTTTCTGCAGAGAAATATATGTACGTGCAACGTGGGCTATGGGATCTGGGCTATGGGCTTATGATGGGTTCATGAGGCTTTTTTTTATTGTTTAATGTCTATGTTTTTGTTTTTATTTTAAAGCTAGTTTTATTTTCTGCAGCTTTGCATACACGAAACACTTCGCTTAACTTTAATTTGCTTGCTCTCCCTGTTTTCTATTTCCCCCTCCCACCTTCTTTCTATCTTTTTCCTTATTTTTCTTGACCTGTTAATGTTTCAACTATTGTGCATGATGCTGTAGCAGAAGCCAGTCAATATCACATATTTCATTTGCTGTATGTTTCTTTTTTTTCTTTCTTTTTGTTGGGTGTGAGTGATTTTCAATGTTTTGTGGATATATTATTCTATACTACATTACTTTCACGCTTTTCTCTTTGCTGAAATCTGATTTTGATCCCGTTCTTTCTTCTTCTTGGCTTCCTGGAGGTTATTATTTACCCTACATGTATATACGACTCAGTTTATCAATATCTTAATATATATAGTGATAGTTATATCCAATATGTAAAATTTTCGTGACTCGTTGATGCAATAATGCGGGTTCCTGTAAAATGTATAAATGTATAAAATAACTCGTAGGCAGGGGGGGGGGGGGGGGGAGGGGGACATGAAAAAAAAAAAAAGAGAGAGAGAGAGAGAGAGAGATAATCGTGACCACACACTCCCAAGCCCCAGCCTCAGCAATGACGCCTTTGTCTCCTTTGCTCCCCTGAGATAATGGCGGCGGGGGAAATGGCTAAATCAATTAACGCAGTTAGGCCCCAGCCTGAGTTTCGTCGGGATCTTTGACACTTCATGCCTGCCACGCATATATGTATGTACGCACGTTGGTAACGCATGATAAACATATCCGTCACCATGGTGGGGAAAAGAGACTACCTAGGTACCAAAAATCATTCCCGCATGTCGCTCCCACATACACGGCTCTTCGTCATCATTTCGCATCCTTACTACCCCCCCAAAATGTTGCCCGTTCCAACAACTCGCCCATTTTCTGGGGCAAATATACCTGGGAAGAAAAAGTGGGTGCCAAACGCCAAGGATCAAGGTTTTTTTTCCCGTATAGAACATTCCGTGGGGTCTAAGATGCTGAGGCGGCATTGGATAGGTGAAATATAGCAATTATTATTGGCTTTCGTCATTCGTAATCCCTCACCAACGGAGACTAGGAAAAAAAATCGTCGCACCGGTTCCATGGCCAGGGATTGTAGAGTTCTTCATCACGCGGGCCATAAATTGGGAGAGGAAACGACGGTGCAGGATGGAGAGGAAGAACCAGAAAATACCCATGCAGTGAATTAACAACGGAGAAGGGAGGGGGGAAGGGGAAATATGCACGTATTTGAGTGTGCGCGAGCGTGTAATTTGTTTTGGTTTGCTTTATATTTTTAATATAAAGGCTAATATTCCACATCGTTTTTCCACAACTTCAACCCCCTAATCACTACTGCTACACCCACGGCAGCCACAGCTGACACACTGGATGCTTTGGTCTTCTTTGAGCTGCGCTTTGGGCACGCGGCAGATACAGGTGGCGTTGAAGTTTGTTTCTTTGGTCTGGATGCAGCGGAGGCAGCAGAGCTACATAAACGGATATGACTGTGAGTTTAATGAACAAAGCGCGAAGAAGGATGGTTTGTAAAGTTCAGGTACGCACCTTCTCGTAACCTTGCTTCTTCCACTTCGCAATAAGCAAGGCATCCCCATAGTTATTTTTCAGCAGCCAGTCATATAGTTGTTTGGAAATGGCTTCTTTTTCGTAGTAAAGATCGTAGATGTAGCGGGATCCTGAAACACTTGTTAGATGCCTCGTTCATGCAAGCCATCATACATCACAGTCCTGTATAGCGTAAAGGGAGAACATACGCGCATGGCTAATCTGAAATATCGGCCAGAGGACTTCGTGCCTCTTCTTGCCCTCATGAGAGGCGTTTTCTGCATCTTTCATCTTGTTGCTGAACTCGAGCAGGGTGTCTTCGATGTCGTCGAAGCCGTCTGGCGGGGGTTTACGTGTCCGCGAGGTGCGGATGGGAGGCATGGTGTTGGGGTTTTCGTTTATCTGAGAGCTGGATTGCTTAAAATGTCTGTCCGCTCACTTTCGAATGAGAGACGAGTGCTTCGTAGTGAAACGAGTGGATGTGGTGTGCGTGAGCTGGGGTATGTTTGTTACTAGTTTATGATGCTGAAGGCGACGATGAGGTAAAGAGCATTTCTGCCACCAATCACCGCTTTGATATCTTTCCCCGAAAAATTGGAACCAGCTCCATTAGACGAAATTAAATTTCTTGCTGAAGCCCTTTGACAATAATATCACCTTATATACTCAACTCTATTGGAAATCCATAATACCTTCTTACGAAACCGGAACCAAACGATATCCGCATACACTCATATATACTAGTAGTATCTACAATATGGACCCCCAAATCGATGTCGGCAAGCTCAACGACGCGGATAAAAGAGAAGTCCAACAGTTCGTCGCAATCGAGGCGCAGAAGGCAGCTTTCCAGTCAAGTAAATAAATTTAAACCCCTTACTTTTATTCCATCTTCACCCTCTTCTTCCGTCCTAAAAATTTTCATTCCGAAAAATACTGCGTACGAACGGGTCTCAATTCTCATCCCTTCCAGAAAGAGTCTCTCAGACCAATATACGCATTTACGTGTACTGACAATGCTTTCCCTCTTTCCCACCAGGCGTCCACCAACTCACCGACATGTGCTGGAAGAAATGTATCACGGGCAAAATATCCGGAGGAAACCTGGACCGCAACGAAGAATCATGCGCACAGAACTGCGTTGACCGATGGATGGACGCAAGTACCGCCGTGTTCAAGCATCTAGACAAACTGAGAGGGAACTAGCCATTGCTGCTTCTGCTGGTAGTGATGGTGAAGCTATGTCATTTGAGCTGGGGTGCAGAATTCAGTAGCCATATACCCGGATGAAAAAAGATGGTGGCTTCGCTCGCCTGGGGAAAATCCTCCGAATGAGTTTATGTTGGAATGTGATGTGCAGAGAAATGGCGACATGGGGGACTGCCATTGGGTTGATTACTGCTTTCTCTTGTGAATTGTACGATAGATAATGGGATGATGATCAATTGGTTTATATTAACGTATATTTGACTTGGTGTCGATACGTATATTAAATAAATGTCGAGCAAGTGCCGTAATGTCAATATGTTTTCGACATGAATGGCCTACACGGGCAAAACACCAGTACTACTTGTCAAGCGCCATAGGTTATTACTCACATCCAATCCAATGTGAATCACTCCCTGATAGTTCGAAAAGCAGAGGTGAAAAAAAGGGAAAACATGGGTTTCATTCACATTTCAATGACTGTAGCATTTCTGAAGCCACCGAATAATTTTTTAAGATATAAAAAGAGAAATTTCACCCGCAACATCCCGTAACTGTAACAGAAGAGAGGAATAACAAAAAACCGCTTCAAACAATCGCCAACTTCGTCGCCGCAATGTCAAGAGCATCGACATCAGGGGTTAATCTCGCAAACGCCTTTTTCGTGCCATCGGGTCTGTGCAACAGGATCATCGTTAGCCAACCCGTTTTTCATCCCACCCTCCCAAGCAGATCAAAAACCGGGCTGCAGGCTCTACATACCTGATGAGGGTGTTAATCTTAACAGTGTCGACATCGTAAAGGGTCTTCAGAGCCTGTTTTATTTGTCTCTTGTTGGCTTTAACATCAACGATGAAGACAAGCGTGTTATTTTCCTCGATTTTCTTCATGGCGCTTTCAGTGTTCAAGGGGTGGACGATGATTTTGTGGTGGTCGAGGCGGGTTTCATGAGGAATGGACTTGCGCGGGTACTTGGGCGACCGCGAGAGCTGGAGGGTTTTTGGCCGGTGGAAGGTTGTTGATGTCCGGATCTTACGGACTTTGTGCGAATGAACCTGTTGCAGCGCGGAGTATCAGTACAATGCTCGGTATTCTACGAGTCGGCTCGAATCGCGCATCTGTATCATGCGGGAAGAATAATGGACGTACACCCTTAAGCACCGCTTTCGCAGCGGCACCAGCTTTGGCGCTGGGCTTTGCGGCTATATTGTTTTCAAAAGAAAAGGTCAGCATATCTTGTTCCTCGGGAGTAACAATGATTTAAATGAATCCCCATGTTTCTATCTGGCGCGCCTGCTCCTCAATCCGTCTCATCCATCCTCAAAGTAGAGATCCAATTATTTCCCCCTCTCCCAAACTCCCAATATCAAATCTCACAGAACGGAAATAGCCCGGGTGAATCCGTATCTCACCTTTCTTGTTCTCAGCCTTGGGTGCCATGTCTGTCGATTGGCGGTGTTAGTTGGTGGTTGTCGATGTCGTCCTGGTCAATTCCATCAACGGAATCTATCTTTCGTCTTGTGTTGGACTCTCTCGCTTAGTTTGAAAACCCTACGATTCTGTGCGTCACGTGATTTAATAAATGTGCACTTTTCCCGAAACGGGAATCCGCCAACATCAAAAAGATTTCAAACATCAAACAACATGCTATGAACAATTGAGAATTCGAGGCGTTCTTTAGCAGGCAGAAAGGGAGGGAAAGAAATGGGGCATTGCCCATCACAATGTCGCATCCATAGCAATTTTTTCACAATTGCCCTCCAACAAGGACTTGGTTTACAGATATGACAAGGACGAGCCACAGCAAGACCAAATCTAAAAGAACACCCGGCTCCATCTCCCATGGCCGCCCACCAACCGCCATCAGAAAACCCGCCGCGTCCCTTTCAGCTAAAGCAACACGCACCCTGATTCGGGCTCACCACCAACTCCACAAAGCCCGCGCCCGCGCTCTGGCAGAGAAAAACGAAGCTCTTGTGCGGGACTTGGACAGGCAAATTGCCGCCCATGGCGGACTCGAGAGTTACCAACTAGCGAGCAAGAAGGGTCAGTCGAAGGAGCGGGGTGGTGATTCCAGCAAGGTACTTGTGGAGTGGTTGGTGCCTGTGTTTGAAGAGCTGAACCTGCAGCGGCGGAAGCCGCAGAATCAGGGTGGTGGTGCTAGTGGTGCTAATGGTACTGGCGATGGAAAAGGTGACCCAAAAGCTGAAAAGGGAGAGGAGACACCGCGACGACCACCGCCACTACGGTTACTCGAAGTTGGCGCGCTAAGCACCTCAAACACCTGCTCCCGCGTTGGTTTGCTGGATGTCACCCGGATTGACCTCCACTCGCAGGAGAAGGGCATCCTACAGCAGGATTTCATGGAACGTCCATTGCCCACATGCGACGAGGAAAAATTTCATATCATCAGCCTATCGCTGGTGTTGAATTATGTCTCGAATTCAGCGAGCAGGGGGCAGATGCTGAAGCGGACAACGGCGTTTTTGACGCCGCCGCCGCCGCTTATTGCGACGACAGGAGATGCAGCATCAGAAAATGCGCCAGATGAACAGCCTAATAATAGCGCGCATTTGCCATCTCTATTTCTCGTTTTGCCGGCAGCATGTGTGCTCAATTCCAGGTATTTTACTGAGGAGCGGTTGCGGGCCCTCATGTCAAGTCTAGGGTATGAAATGGTGCAGAGGAAGGTGACGTTGAAGCTTGTGTATTACCTTTGGAAGTACAGTGTCGATGGTGTCCCTAGGGCTTCTGTTTTTAAAAAAGAGATTCTGAACCCCGGTGGGAAGAGGAATAATTTTACTGTTACTCTGGATTAGGTCTGTTGAGACAATGGTGGTGAAACATGTAATGTATACGTCAATATCGAGTATATTATTATTTAGAAAAATTTGTACATGGCCGGTTAATGGGAGGATTTCTGATATCTATTCGTACCTTATATATTTATAACTTATATAGTACAACCTTGAGTGTTAGTCGCTATCAAGAAACATTTCATGATAATACATTGGCATAAATTATAACAAGCCCAAAACTTTTTATTTTCCACCCGTCTCTCATTAGGACCATCGTCGTCAATATCATCATCATAATTCACCAAGTAAACCGAACAAACTCCTCATAAAAGAGCGAGGTTACGTTATACATACCAAACCCCTCACCAACATTGCAAAACCTCGCTTCGCATCCCCAGCAACATACACTCCCCATGGATAAACCAGCCCTACCAAACCTCATCTCAACCCAAGATTTTCCTTGGGAATAAACGCCCACGCTGTGCCCACAACAGCCATAACCGAACCAACGCCCAACAACACCCAATCCACAACCCTTTCCCAAAACAGAATACTCCTGCCGAAGATCTTCAAATAAAATGCAACCGGCAAGATGATGCAGATCGTAATACAGAGACTTGCGCCGATGAGCGCCATGATGCGGTCGAAGTACGGGAAGACGATGGCAATGAAGGTGATTATGCAGATTGTGACGATGCGAGCTGTGAATTGAACGGTTTTACGGAGGAGGGTACTCGGAGCTTGCTTACTCGTGTTCCTTGGCTTGTTTTTGCGATTGGGATTTGGCGGGGGTGCGTGGAGACCACAGAGGGATTCGACTGTGCTAACTAGGGGGCGGCAGCTGGCGTATAAATTGTGGTTAATTTGACTTGCTGTTTGGCCAGTTCAAAAATTTAAAAAAAAAGGGGGTGGGCACAGGGGGCTATGGGTGGTGAATAGGAGGATATATTTTGTTACCTGAGAGGTACTTTGGTCAACGGGATGATTGCGATGAATGCAACGATGCAAACTGATAACCAGTTTGGATATCCAGCCGTTAGGAGAATGTTAGATGTGATTTCATCTCTGACATCTGGGCCAAACATGAGCCAGCCGGCCACGGCCATAGCAAGGTCCAGCAAAAACTATATCGAGTTAACCCGTTTTAGCATAATTTCGATATTTTTGGGACTGTAGAACGAGAAGGAGAAGGAGGTAGTTGGTAGGCAGTCCACTAACTGTGAAGATGTAGGTTATCCAGAGACTCTCGCCGTACTTATGTGGGTGTCTCATGTCTTTATAAATATTTGGGAAGACGCTGTGGCCGCCCCAAGGAGCTGAAAGAATATGGCATGTTTAGCGCAACAGATCCAGGAATTACCCAAAGCCAGAGAGCTGGCAAGAATTAGACTTACACATAATTAATCCAAATGAAAGTGGAACAGCGTTCCAGTTGTCAGGGAGAAGTGATGTCCGTGCAGGATCACGAAGGGAGCCCGGTGACTCCGTTTTGATAATGCCATCAATAAAAATGATCAGAACAACTTTTATTTTGTTAGTTCTTTAGCCGTCATCTAAAAGTTATACTTACGAAGGGGGGGGGAGAAGGTTTACGGCATCTCTCGATAAAACTTACTGGAAGTACAACACAAAATCCCTAAAATACTTGACAAGCTTAGCAGCCGCAGGGGCACGAAGTTCATTGGAATTAAGATAGCACCACATATCAATTTCCACCGCAGGGCGCCTAGCCCCGGGAACAACGCATCAATGCTATCAGCAAATAAAACGACCAAAGCAACACATGCACCCATCAGCTCCAAGCAGAAGAGTAAACTGGTGACGATACGCGCATGAGGGCCAAAGCTGATATACGCCAGGTCAGCATATGTAACGAGGGTGGGATCGACATCCATGCATTTGGCAAGGATTTTGGCCGTGTAGGTAGTAGATACTGCCGAAAAGATGAGGAGCGAGATGCCGATGAACCAACCCGCATACATGAGGCCTAGTGGTAAACTAAGCAGGCCAATTCCGATAAGGACGTTGACGGAATTGAAAATTGTCTGGGGAACGGTGGATTGGCCAACAATGATGGTTTCCTTGGAACCGTCCTCGTGTTGAATGCGCTTGACGACGAATGGTTCGCGTTCATCATCGGGTTCCGCTGCCACAACCGCACCTGCTTCGAGGAGCTGGTGTTCTCTATGAAGTTGTGCAGCGTTTAGTCTGGCAGACTCGCTAATTCTGGAAGAAACTGTCGTTAAATACGACTCCTCGTAACTTCGTCCCAGAAGCGGTGTAGTGCGGGTAGATTCATCGAACTCGCCATCCGTGAGCGGTCGTCCGTAGGTAGTTTCCTGCCTGGTTCCATAATTGGGCCAATAGCCTGCCTCGCCAAAAGGGATCTCTGATATTCGTTCAACAGGTGCCGAGCGTTGGCGCAGAAGGGCAGTGGTGTCATCTACGGGTGCATCAGGGCCATGTTCCTCATCACCTGGCAACGCGAGGACGAACGAGGATCTACGAGGAGCGACTTCTGGAAAATAAGCTGCCCGCTGCCACGAACGGGCAAAATTATCCAAGCTATTAGGCGCGCCAGTAACTGGATAATTCCTTGTGGATATCTCCGCCGCCCTAAAAACGTAGTTAGTAGGGGAATATATCAAAGCTTTTGAAATATAGGAGGATATGCTATGTAATATGAAAAGGCAAGAGAATTAAAATATATACCATCGTCTTCGTAAATCATTGTCATTAGCTTCATGTTGTAGGATGTTTCTAGGAGTCGAAGAGGCGGATGGAGATGGTTGGGAGTACGGGTGTGAGGAAGAGCCGCGGCCTGCCATGGTTGAACTTGGACTGGACGCGACAGGCCAGGTCAGGCCAGGACTGTGCCGTGCTGTGCTGCTCTGTCACCTGCAGCTGTTTATAGGATATTGCGAAACCATGCGCAGGCTACACGATGAAATAACGACGCGGGATATCTGAGGTATCTAGCAACGAAGTGAGGAGGAAAAAAGAGAGACGGACGAAATAAACTTTGTCGAAACAGAGACTTGTCAAGGCAAGATCGGACAGATAACTATCGACAAAAGGAAAGAAAAACACAGTCCTTGAAGAAACAGTGTTTCTGTCCAAAGATATATTTGTATTTAAAGATGGGTGGCAAGGTCCCTCACAAGCCGGTGAAGACGAAGGAATATTTATTCGGCAAACTAAATCTGCCCTAACTTGTCAACTCAAGGATATAATCACCCGAACATGTTGGTGGCAACAACAAACAGGGGAAAATTTTTTTATACTGCTTTATTTTTCGGCTAGAGCTGGAAAATACAGAGAGTGTGGTTGATAGAATATCTTGATTAACGGGCTATTTATCTTTTGAACCTATCTCAACATTGCGGGATTGAGTAGACTTCATAGTAGAAAAGAACTGATTGCAGACTAACACACAATGGATGGCGATGACTACAGTGTAGAGTTCAGGCACATTCAATTATATATATATATATATATATATATATATATCCAACTGAGAAATATTTATCTAGTTATACCTCCCTGTGCCTCGGCAACCAAGTGGTTTTTCTTTTCTGTGTTGATTGATACTAGTATCCGCCCGTGCGAAATCGGTTGACATCGGCCGGAAAAAAATATACAATCCTAGTTCCTCCCCGCCAAGACGCAGCGAAGCAACAATACGTCATTGTCTGGCTGCATGCATCGCGGGCTCGAGAGTTGAGACGACAAATGCGGAGCCAGAAACTATCTAGATTCCAGTGACTGGGCTGTAGATATTGTCCAGATGTACCAAACCCAAGAATTAACCAAAGGAAAAAAAAAAAAAAAAAAAAAAAAAAAAAGACAAGGAGAAATAGAAATACTCCCGAAAACTGCCCGCTGCTATCCCGCTGAACCTAGACCATCAACCCAGCCCTACTCAACCCTCTCAACAACAACCGCCGTCCCATACGAACACACCTGCGCAAACCCGCCCAGATCGCTCGTATCAAATCGGAGCGCGATAATCGCATTCCCCCCCTTCTGCAAACACTCGCCCACCATGCGCGACACGGCCTCGTTGCGCGCGCGATACAGCATTGTGGTGAACATGCCCAATTCCCCACCACCGATGGATTTGAGCACCATGCCCAGTCCTGCGGCCAGGTTGCGCGATTGCACGGTGAGTCCGTAGACGGCGCCCAGGACCCGAGTCACGCGGTAGCCCGGGAGGTCGTTCATGGTTGTGGTGATCACGCCATCAGTGTCGCTGAAGGCACCGTGGACCTCCAGGCCCTGCAGACTGTCTTGGGGGGCCATGGTGGACTTTTGTGGATGAGAAGCTGATGTCATATGGTGGATGTGTAGTTATGTTGAGGAGGAAAGGAGACAGAGAAGGAGAAGGAGAAGGAGGAGGATGGACGGAGGATGGTTTGTGTATTTATAGACTTTTCCGAAAGATGTTTTGATGATGAGTTTGCTTTCTATGGCTTTTTTGATCATTTAAATTTTGGACTTGCTTCTTTGAATGTGTCTCCTTCTGCAGCTCTGTCCTGAATCTCCTGGTTTATATACTTTTCAGACCCGGCAACAGCCTTATCGGTTGGGTTTTGCAACTAACTCCGTTTGGGATAAAACTCGTATTCCTTCAACCTCTTCATGACGATCCACTGCTATATACTTTTGATCGCCGCATTAGACGAGCAATTTGGCTTGTTAGGGAGGAATGTGCTTCTGTTTATACGGTATTTAAGAGCCTGGATTGAATGTATTCACAGATTTCACGTATTCGTTGATTGAATGATGTTCGCCTGATTATCTCTTGACAACTGTCGTGAAACCAACGAACGAGGAGAGGCGTACCATGGTCGTTTAGCAATTGTCCAAAGATTAGGCAATATCCAAGCACTAGTTAGTTAGTTAACTACTGTGTATTTCGTAAGTTATTCGTTGAGGAAATTCCTAGCCCTAGGCGGATTTCATTTCTTAGATTTTCTCCCATGGGATAATGTGATGGGTTAAAATAGAGGAACTTTTCCATTTTGGACCACAAAATGAGCCACACTCAAAGGCGAATATAGGTCATGAGAAACATACCTCCCGTCAGAAGCCAACTCAGCCTGCCATCGAACAAATATCATTGTAAATCTCCAATCCGTGGTCGGCGGAGTGTTTGACGTGGCTGCGGAGAAGCCTGCTTATGTCATCACCCGCCAGCCAACTTCCCCCACAATCGTCTGCAGAAAATTGTTCAACCTCCGCCCACCAAGACAAGTCGACCGGCTCAGAGGTGAGTTCTTCTGCCCTCATTACCCACTCTATATACGTCGTCTATCCGTCCTCAAAATAGCTGCTAATCAGCCCATGCGCTCAGCGTGCTCTTTATATCAGTCGTACCCCCCCGTTCGCACATCCAAGGTCGCCCACTATGAGCGCGGCTCAGGCGAACGACGCGGAGAAGAACATCGAGATATGGAAGGTCAAAAAGCTGATCAAGCGTCTCGAGGCAGCTCGTGGAAATGGAACGTCCATGATCTCGTTGATTATCCGTAAGCCTCAGTTCTCATCTACAACCCTACCCACGTGAGGCTTTGCCCGACTATTTCCACCCTCGGACTGACTCACTTTTTCCTGCCTAATAGCGCCTAAGGATCAGGTTTCACGAGCTGCCAAGATGTTGGCGGAAGAATTTGTATGTGTTACTTCTCCACAGAGGCGACCATTATCTTGATTTTTGCCAGCGGCGCAAGTTAAGAATTGCATATTAATCTTTAATTCGCGTCACAGGGCACCGCTTCCAACATCAAATCTCGAGTTAACCGTCTCTCCGTCCTGTCGGCCATCACCTCGACGCAACAGCGCCTCAAGCTATACACTAAAGTCCCTCCAAATGGACTTGTTATCTACTGTGGTGAAATCATCACCTCTGAGGGAAAGGAACGGAAAATCAACATCGATTTTGAGCCTTTCAAGCCCATCAATACGTCACTCTACCTTTGCGATAATAAATTTCACACCGAAGCCCTCAGCGAACTTCTCGAGTCTGACCAGAAGTTTGGATTCATTATCATGGATGGGAACGGTGCTCTTTTTGGAACCCTAAGCGGAAACACAAGAGACGTCGTCCACAAATTCTCCGTCGATCTGCCTAAGAAGCATGGCCGTGGTGGTCAGTCTGCTCTGCGTTTCGCCCGTCTTCGAGAAGAAAAGCGCCACAATTATGTCCGCAAGGTTGCCGAATTAGCAGTGCAGAATTTCATCACCAACGACAAAGTCAACGTTGCCGGTATCATCCTTGCCGGATCTGCTGATTTCAAGAACGACCTCAACCAGTCCGACATGTTTGATAACCGCCTACAATCGAAGGTTATCAAGGTTGTTGATGTTTCTTATGGTGGTGAGAATGGCTTCAACCAAGCCATTGAACTTGCCTCCGAGACCCTTGGCAACGTCAAATTCATCCAGGAGAAGAAGCTCATCGGTAAATATTTCGAGGAAATCAGCCAGGATAGCGGAAGAGTCTGCTATGGTGTGGACGATACTCTCAAAGCCTTAGAACTAGGCGCAGCAGAAACGTTGATCGTTTACGAAAACTTGGACATTACACGATGGGTTCTCAAGGCCAACACTGGCTCAGAGGTTATTCTCCACACCACCAAGGCCCAAGAGGCCAACCGCGAGATGTTTATGGACAAGGAAACCGGGCAGGAAATGGAAATCGTCGACCAGAGCCCGTTCCTCGAATGGCTTGCCGAGCATTACAAAGATTTTGGTGCTGCCCTGGAGTTTGTTTCCGACCGGTCCAGCGAAGGAAACCAGTTTGTAAAGGGCTTTGGTGGTATCGGAGCTGTTCTCCGCTACAAAGTCAACTTCGAGCAGTTGGCTGATTATGAATCCGAGGACGAATTTTACGACGGTATAACTTCTTTCTCTCACTTTTTTTGCCCTTTTCTTTTTACCCTCCTTCTATTTATTTAAAGGAAGTCGACCTCCATGCTAACAATATCTTAATTTTCCCAGATTGACGGTTTTGCGACCTCGCGGATAGCGAGGATGATCGCCCAGAAATCCCATTGGCGGATGTTCTGACGGCTCGTCCTTTGAACTCAGCTCCTAATGATGTTCAAGAAAGTTACCAGACAATCGCAACACGGGCCCTAGGTCCGTCTGCCCAATCTAGTATGAAGCTTCTCAGAGGTATGCCATCTTTTTATTATTTTCCTACCTTTTTGAACATCTAAATTAAATGTCTTCCTTGTTTTCTATTTAGGGCCATCCAAGCTCCGGAATGTAGCTATGAGCGCTTGAAAGGGATAGAAAAAAAAAAGAACTGGTTTCGAATTTCTTATACAGGAGAAGAAGAATCCTTTTTCTTTTAAATCACGAAGCCTGACTGGATTACTGAGCAAAAAGAGTCCCGAAACGGTGGGAAAGGGGTGTTCGTTTATCTTTTCTCTGAGTTTTTAAACCTTTTCCCTAGCATAGCCAATAACGTGACCATACTCTTTTCTCTTACTGCAAAGTTCTGTGTTAATTGGCACAGACAGACCTGTGGATACAGCCCAGCGAGAGAACTTTAGAAGGGACAGAGGCCAAAAAAAAAAATTATTATATCAGTTTTCCAGCTTACCTGTTTTTATATATCTTATGGTTACCATTATCATTACCACTGCTACTCTCACTACTTATCTATTCACTCTTGAACTTTCTGTTTCGCAACTATGTCTTACGTGATTTATTTTACTGGGGAGACATCTTTCATATATTTCGTGCTGTACGGTTGGATTAGAGAAACCAACTCCTCCAACTCGCTTTGAAGAACACAGTCGATATGATATATTTTTATATACTTCGGGGGACGAAGGAAACGAAGGCCTCTCCACAACTGAGCGTTGCTCGGGTTTTCAATTTTTCATGGTTTCCATTTTTTGGGGGGTGGGGTTAGAGTGTTTCTTTCTGGGTTCATCAGACATACGCTTGTGCGGGATGTGATTATCAAACACCACCACCGACAAATACATTGTTGTAACGTTGTTTTCCATATAAAAAGACATTAAGAAAAAGAACTAATCTATCATAAAGAGATACATAACAATCGTTCACTCGTTCATATTATAAACACGAATCCATTTCACTCACCCCTCCCTTCTTCCCTTCCTCCCCCTCCTTTTCTCACCTCCCCAACCGATCTCCCCAACTCCCCAGGTCCCTACAACAGCTCGTCTTCCCCTCCAACTCCTCCATTGCCTTCTCAACAACGTCCTCCTCATGCACGCCACGCACTCTCTCGCACTCCACGAAGAAGATGTACTGCCAGGGCCTAATCTGGCCCGGGCGAGAGACGATGCTGGTTAAGTTGAGGCCGTGGCGGCGGAAGATCGTGAGGGCGTCGACGAGGGCGCCGGGGGTTTCATGGGCAATCATGAAGGAGATGAGGGATTTTACTTTTGTGGGCGCTATGGTGGACGAGGGATAAAAATCCTGCTCGTCATCTCTCGTCTTCTCACTATGGCCATTCCGCAAGACGAGGAAGCGCGTCGTATTATCGGCGCGGTCCTCGATATTGGCGGCTAGGACGCATAGGTTGTGGTGCGCGGCTGCGAGGGAGCTGGCGATTGCGGCTGAGATGCCTTCGCCGTTGTTGCCGTTTTCGCCTTGACCAGCACCAGCACCACCACCACCCCCACCACCGTAACCGGGCAGGGTATTGCTACCGCTTTTCGCGACGATGCTTGCTGCTTTGGAAGTTGAGGGAGCGTCTTGTCTCTCTGTGCCGCGGAAGTATTTGGAGAGGAAAGCCTCGCATTGGCCCCATGCTTGGGGGTGCGTGTAGAGTCTTGAGATGCAGCGGTAGATGGTTTCGGGATGTGATATGTCTGTATATATATGTACGATTAGGGTGACCCTTGGTAGAATCTTGGGATGCAAGAGAGCGCATTATATATGTACCTGAAGCAGCGTCCTCGTTCCGGATAAGCAGACAGTGGTGGACGGTTAGATAGTACTCTCCGCAGACGACGATGTCACTGTATCGACTATCGCGGTCAGCCAGGAGGTCAAGAGTCTGCACGACGGAGCCGTTTGTGGAGTTCTCAAAGGGGATGACAGCGTAATCTGCCTCCGTGGATTGGATGGCGGCGAAGGCGTCCGCGAAGCTGGGTTTGGGGAGCAGAGTGATTGTTCTTGCTGGAGAGGTGGGGAAGAGGTCTAGAGCTGCCTGTCTTATTGATGCGGCATTGTTTCAATTCCTTAGTTAATTTACCTCTCAGGGTAGAAATAGGCTTGTGGAAGTTGGATTGGAAATTCATATCAAAACTGGCTTGTTGCTTTCTGACCTGGTGGGAGAATGAGGCCAGTGGTCCGAGAAAAGTTACCCTCAACTCCCTTTGAGCGGGAGACGGGGACATGCTGCGGAGTTGTACCTTCACCCAGTTGATAGAGGGATGTATATCAAACTACCCTTTCGAATGGGATATTTAATACGGGAGTCAATTGCTGCGAATTGAAAAGTGTTCTTCCGTAGTTCGTGAAAATGGTTACCCCGCTAGGTATCTAATATTTTAAAGTGTGGTGGATAGTTTTTTATTTTGGTCGGGGAAAAAGTCCCCGCAGACTTATGGAAATATTTACAACCACCACCGCTCCGAAAATTGAGTGTCCAACAGCCGTAACTACCCAAGGTTGCTGGCAAGCCCAATGTCGCCGATTCCGCAAAACTATGTTGGCTAACACATATAAACATGTCAACAACCACCTCGCCGCGCCTGGACTGCTCCCGCGCATACAATCCCAATCCTGCCGCAGAGTCTCCTCGTCTGCTCTCCGCACACAGCTAAACCAGCTACCCCAACGCCGTCTTCCGCTCTTCTACGACTATCTCACCCCGCAACAATCGCATCTCCTCAATCTATCTCTCGCCGGCTTCGTCCCTGCCACAGCAACCGTTAACAATGCCAAATCATCTCCAACGACTGCATCAACAACCCTCCCATCCTCAACTTTGGACCCACCGCCTATGCCTGCCGGTCATCACCTAGTTTATTTTCCACCACAGATCCCCATCTCCCAACTCTTACCAGACGGTACGGATAGATTACATTCCCCAGGTTCACCCTTTAATAGACGGATGTGGGCCGGGGGTTGGGTGAGATTGTGCAAAAAAAATCACAATAATGATTGTAATACGGCTAGGTCTGGAAAGCATAGACCGCTGCTACTCAGCGGGCGACGTGCTGTGTGCATCGAAGGTATTCGAGATGTGTCCGTGAAGGGCAAGGAGGGGGATGAGAAGGTGTTTGTGGGTGTTGAGAGGCGGATGGCTGTTGTTGGGGAGGGGGAGGATGAGGAGACGATTAGAGGAAGGGTGTGGACTAAGGATGAAGCAGAGTGGGGAGACGCGGCTGTGGTTGAGCGGAGGAATTTGGTTTTTATGAGGGATAGGGCGGGGATCTTGGACGGAGGCGTAAATGATACACGTTTTAGGAGGGTTGTAAAGGGTTTGTTTTAGAAGGATTCTTTTTTTTTTTTTTTTTTTTTTAAAAAAAACATGAAGATGCCTCTTGGCTAACAAAGATCAATAGCACCAACCAACCCAGACTTTAGTCACCTTCTCATCCCATCACGGTCCCTTCTATTCCGCTACTCAGCGCTCACCTTCAACGCGCACTCCATCCACCTGGATCCCAGCTACGCTCGAGAGGTCGAGGGATATCCGGACGTACTGGTTCACGGCCCGCTTACTCTCACTCTAATGCTCACAGTTTTCCAGAACCACATATCTGATGCATCTGCTAGGCGGCCGGTAATTGGAAGCATTGAGTATCGCAACCTGGCACCCCTGTTTGTGGAACAGGAGATGAGGATATGTGCTAAGCGGAAAGGCAATGGCGAGCGTGCTAGTGCTGGGGCGTGGGATATATGGGTAGAGGGGCCTGATGGAGGGCTCGCAGTTAAAGGAACTGTGCATATATTGTACCAACAATGAGATGGAGAAGGAGATAGAGGAGAACGGCATTGAGAAAGCTTGGGAAAATGCCTCTCAAGTTTTTTCATACGCACAAAAGCTCGGAAGCCATTTTTGTATGTTTTAAGACTTCCTCAGCCCTCTAGGGCTTCCTCGTTCTCCATCCTCTCCGCCTCACTCCGCCTCTCCACCCGCCTCATCCATCTCTTTCTCCACCAGTTATCTGCTTCCATGCAACATCGTTCATTTTTGTCAAGCTTACGCGGTGCTTTGATTGAAGACTGTATTGGCTGGCGCCCAGTGACCCTCTCAATGCAGTTAAAGGGGAAGACTGTACTGTGCTAGCCCTCCGCATCTTTCTCATCTTTCTCATCTTTTCTTGGGTGGTTCGAGATTTGCTTGTGCTCTTCCCGATTGGGGCTTTTCTAACTCAATTAGAAGAGTTGGCGTTAGTTCGCTTGGTCCACCTCTTCTCATTTCGTTTATATTTACACAGCCATTCCACAATATGCCAAAGCAACTCACTTCCGGAGTTGTCTTCAAACTCAATTACGTGAAGCGGAGTCACGGACCATCCGGTCTTTCTCTTCATCTTCCTGGCTCCGGGGAAGCCTAGCCCAGCCCTAGACCCCAATGGCCTGGAGATTCATCTCTCCCTTCGTTATCGGAGTATTTGGTGATACTGGATTCTCCAGAGTGCGATCTATCCATTCCAAGATAACTTACACGTACAGGCGGACCAAAATGTCAAACGAAAGACGAGTTATTAAGGCTCGGAAATTTCATTTTTATAGCCTTGCCTTCATATTTCATATCCCTAACCCAAAAAGGGTTTGATGCCATCGAACGAGTTAACCATATCGTAAACCTGCGGGTTTGTCTGACTTTCCCGAGTCGAATATGTCCTTCGGCAAAAACTGGTTGTATGAGGACTTGCGAACTGGACCCTAACATGCACGTCGGACGTTTTTAACGTGGCGTCAGTTAAATGGCGTTCACTACCTATTCCCTCTTTTATTCTGGCAAAGGTCTTATTCCATGTGGTGGGAGGCCACCGATGTGGTAAAAGAGAGAAACGGGCATGACCACTACCAAAAGAGGGGGAAATTACAGCGTCGAATAATCCGCTGTCGAGTCCACCTTGGCAAACATTTCCCATCCAAGTTTTGCCAAAATAATGTCGGCAACAACTCACATTTTGTCACAGTGTGCGACAGATTGTCATGAGGGGACACGCCCAAAAGTAAGGAATGACCACAGGAATCACTTTACAGAAGTGCACGCTTGCGAAGTTCCACCTTTCTGGTTAAAGATGATGCTGTCTGACCAATCCTCAGAGTCAAAAATCGACTATCTGAACAAAATGTCTAAGGCTGCCGATGCTGTATTCTTCGTGGTCCCGGCAGCCGCCAACATTCTTTGTTGATTCCAGCATACAGGGCGACAAGAGAAACGGCATAGAAAGCGGAAACTGAGGTCCTGATTCTTAGTGAAATTTTAAATAGCTATGTGACAGACAAGCAGGTCATAAGATGGCCTTTTGATCATATCTGGCAAATGTAGCCTGCTTAAGGGTTTGTGACCGTCAGTACGCCATGAATGTTGATCGAGCAGGATCCACCCCTGTTTTTTGAGCTGACGTTCTAATATCTATGTTGTGTGTGGCTGATCGTAGTAAATGCAAGTGCCACTTGCAGATATGTGACAATCTGTGAAATTAAACAAATTGGTGATGTTTTGAGTAATGAAGAAAATTATTTGCCGGCCAGATTCTTCGCGGCATGACCATGAGAGGGAGCAGGAGAGAATACTCCATAGATGGGTTCGGCGCTTAGGGCTTCTCAAATCACGGGATAGCCAGCAGCTAAACCTGCACCGTTTGTGACAACACCCATCTTCTTCTCCCTTCATTTTACATTTCTCTCCCACACCAATGTGAGCAAAACCTGTATTTCTAACTTCTATCAACAGACTGTCCATAAATATGGATGTTTTTTGGAATGCACCTCCAGTGATCAGGTAAAACCCACCAAGACACACTTCTTGTTCTACTTGCGTGAGTGCTGGTATATAAAATCATACTGACAGTTCCTTTCATTCCCACAGGACCATCACTGCGGCTGCATTCGTCGAGTCTCTGCTCGTATATGGCGGTATTCTCAGTCCATTGAGAATCTTTTTCCACCCTTCTTTGATTTTCAAGGTCTTTCCGGACATCTGGAGACCAGTCACCTCATTTCTCCTGACGGACTCAGACCTGAACTTTATCTTTGATCTTTACTTTAGTAGGCTTCTTGCTTTGGTTTGCTTCGTTGTTCCATGAGAGACGGCAACTAGTGTTTTCCTGGTGGAAGTGGAAATAATGTGGCCTCGATGCCCACTCTTCTCACTAACTCCTTTATTCTATATCAACAGTGTATAAATATGGCAGTGGTCTGGAAAAGGACTCGCCACGCTTTACTGTCCCTGGCGACTTTTTCACTTATGTTATTTTTGTAGGCACAGTGATTATGGTAAGTGTTTCAGTTCGATTCGATTCGATTCGATCTCCTTTTTATTCCTTTTGTTCACCTTGTTCTACCTTTACCCTCATATTTTTTACTCCCTCCGCATATCTGCCCGCCCAGCCTGATCTAGCTGAAGCGGTTCCTGGTCGTGAGGAAAATTACCCCTACATCTCGTGCAGCTCAATCATTCGCAATCAATCCTTTTATGGGCTGCATGCGGTGAAGGCATGGTGGGATTATCTGATGCGTAACCAGCTAGAGTAATTCTCTGTTTCTCGCATGGTGGTTGTGGGTCCCTACATTCCCTTGAAATCAATCATTTTACTTCGGTACCCTCGCTAAAATGTAACGTTATGAATGAACTTCTTACTTGTATTTCTATGCATGGTCACATCTACCGATATATTGTGTGATATTACTTGATTCTTCTACTGTGGAAAAGAGGCTGACCAGCCCTAAATAGTTGACCGCAGGTGGCCTCCTAGGCGCGGGGATTTTCACTCAAGGTAAGAGTTAAAAATCCCTTAACATGGAACAAGAGAATGATTGTATCACCAAACCTTTGTGAATGAATAGTAATATTCCAAACTAACTCTCCTCGCCCTCTAACTAGCCCTAATACTCGCCTTCATGTACACCCACGGCCAAGTCAACACTGGCAAAAAGGAAAACTTCTTTGTCGTCCAAATCCCCGTCGAACTCGTTCCCTGGGCCACTCTGGTCCTCAGATTGGTAATTCGCGGCCCGCAATCAGCACAGACAGCGGCATGCGGCCTCGTAGCCGCCCATCTGTACGAGTTCCTAACCCGCATCTACCCCACCTATGGCCGCGGTAGGCAGTTTATATGGACCCCTGTCTTTGTGAAGAGATGGTTCGGGGCCCATCGCATGAACCAGACTCATCGCGCCTACGGTGTCTCGTACCACCCTGGTGATAGGGAGACGCGAGAGGCCTCAGCTTCCGGGTCGGGGAGTGGTTGGTTCTCGAGCAATTCGTGGAGTGGGAGGGGTGTTGGGCGGAGGCTTGGATGACATTCAATTTCCTTTACTTGCTCGATTCTGCTATACCATGTCTATATCCCCCCCGCCCTTTTTTTTTACGACTTTTTGCCTGTACTTTGTGTACTACTAGTAACGAGATGGATAGATGATTGACATTTTTGGCATATCTACGGTCTGATGACAATTGCACTTATGATGAGCACGCATATCGTCCAGTATTTAATTTATTTTTCAATATTTATTATGCATCTTTTCCTATCTTGAAAACCGCAGCGTACCCCCTCGCTCTAGGTTCGTAGCATTTTCGCCTCTTGTTTGCAACCAAAAAGTCGAATGATATCACGTGATATAGCTCTTTTCATTGGCCTGGGATTTTCCAAATAAAAATTTGGACGCACTGCAAAATTGTTTGCGAAAGCCCGATATAGGAGTCAATTTTCCTCCACCCGAACAGGAGAATTCAGTCGGGGTGACGTCTAACTTCGTTCGCTTGCGGTTTCGATCAATTTCTTGCAATCAATTCAAAAATGGCCACAGTCGCAGGAAAGATGGATGTCGACTATGCTATCAAGCCCGAGGCTGTTACGCCCGCCATCCCGACCTCAGAATGGCCGTTGTTGTTAAAGAACTATGATAAACGTAAGTTTCTCCGTTTATAAATACATAATATCTTAACAACCCCATGATTGTTGTGGAATTTTGGTTGGAAGGAAGTTAACCATCTGAAAAATTGTGCAGTGCTCGTCAGAACTGGTCATTTCACCCCGATCCCAGCCGGTTGCACACCGCTGAAGCGCGACTTGAAGTCATATATTAGTTCTGGAGTTATTAACCTTGACAAGCCGTCAAATCCATCTAGTCATGAGGTTGTGGCATGGATGAAAAGGATATTGAGGTTGGTTATTACCTGACTGTTTATCCTTAAAAGTTGATAAAAAGGAGAAGGAGGGTCAAAAAAATGAAAACGGGAATCGAAATATTTAAAGGCACAAAATTAACAGTGGGAATTTTATTTTAACAGAGTTGAAAAGACCGGTCACAGCGGAACCCTCGACCCAAAGGTCACTGGTTGTCTAATTGTCTGCATTGACCGTGCGACACGCCTTGTCAAATCCCAGCAAGGCGCTGGAAAGGAGTACGTGTGCGTGATCCGTTTACACGATAAAATCCCTGGCGGCGAAGCGCAGTTTGCCCGCGCCCTCGAGACGTTGACGGGTGCACTCTTCCAACGCCCGCCCCTCATCTCCGCTGTCAAACGACAGCTGCGTATCCGCACGATTCACGAGAGCAAGTTATATGAGTTTGACAACGACAGGCATCTGGGTGTGTTCTGGGTGAGCTGTGAAGCGGGGACGTATATTCGGACGCTCTGTGTTCATCTGGGACTGTTACTGGGTGTTGGTGCACATATGCAGGAGCTGCGAAGAGTAAGGAGCGGAGCAATGGATGAGAAGGATGGAATGGTCACGTTACATGATGTGCTTGACGCGCAATGGATGATGGATAATAACCGTGACGAATCGTATCTGCGGCGGGTTATTCGGCCGCTGGAGAGCTTGCTCACCTCGTACAAGCGCATCGTGGTGAAGGATAGCGCTGTTAATGCTGTGTGCTATGGTGCTAAGCTTATGATTCCTGGGTTGTTGCGATTTGGTAAGTGATGATACAATGTCCTTCTCAAGATTTTGGTTTACGGGATTTTGAAGCTGATGGGGATTTTTGTAGAATCTGGAATTGAGATCCATGAAGAAGTCGTCCTCATGACCACCAAGGGTGAGGCTATTGCCATCGCTATCGCACAAATGTCCACTGTTGAGCTCTCGACCTGCGACCACGGTGTCGTGGCTAAGGTGAAGCGTTGTATCATGGAGCGTGATCTCTACCCCCGCAAATGGGGTTTGGGTCCTGTTGCTTTGGAAAAGAAAAAGCTCAAGTCTGATGGCAAGCTTGATGTTAGTTTCTTCCCCCTTTCCTATATTTAAGTTGATTACTTATACTAACTAACGCCTAGAAATACGGCCGACCGAACGAGAAAACCCCTGCAAAATGGAATTCTGAGTACAAAGATTTCAACGCTCCATTAGATAGTGGTGCTGCAGCAGCTTCTACCGCTTCTGTTCCAACTCCTGCTCCACCCGCTGTCTCTAAGGAAGCAGCCCCAACTCCACAAGTCAACGGAAACGCGCCAGCTGCTGAAGAAGACGATGAGAAGAAGCGAAAGCGACACGTGGGCGAAACTCCAGAGGAGCGAGCAGAGCGGAAACGTAGAAAGAAGGAGAAGAAGGAGAAAAAAGAAAAAAGAAAATCGAAGCAAGCGGCAAAAAGTGACGATGATAGCGAGTAAACGAAGCGGGCTAAAGAAAAAGAAAGAGATGTTTTATTTGATCAAATCGGCAAGATGAATCTGCTCTCGAAAAGTTTTTCTTTCTCTTTCCCTGGGTTTTCTTGTATCATATTCGCTTGCTTCGCTCCTTTGCTTGATCCCGTTGGTTGAGTGTTTATTTTTGTCGATTTGCATATTCCTTTACGGAGTTCCGGGAAAATTTGGGTCCTCTGTTTTTTCAATATTTTTTCTCCTCTTGAATGTGCTCTGTGATTGCGATACTGATTTACCCTAGGAGTCTTGTTTGTGAGAGAGTGTCTATTATGTGTATGTTTGTGTGATCTATTCCGTTGGCTGGTAATAAGTTTTCTCGATGTGTCAGGATCGTGAAGGAAAAAAATACCAGCTTTGGTTTCTTACATATCTCAATGTGAGGCTGTTTTAGCTCTGAATTCTGCAGCTGCCTTCTTTTTTTTGTTTTGCATTCTATAATATTGTGTTGCAGAGGAAAATATCAGATACACATGGGTAGCTCAACCAATGACCTAGTTAATGGGGTCACATGCCCATCTCCAACTTCTCCATCAAACGTCATTCCACTTCCACTCCTGACTCCGCTGCTGCAACAATGCACAAGAATCTCTAGATATCACATCCACAAATAAAAGGCCGACATTTTGGCAGTTACGGAAGGAGAATTTTTGTTTGTTTAGCTGAACTCCGCTGTAATCATCCCCGCTGCGGACATTATCGAGCCCCTCATGGCTGTGGAGCTCACCTCCATAAAGCTCAATCCGGAGAGTCACCTGCTCCTGGTATGCATATCTAATCTACCACTGCACACTTAGTAAAATCTCTGATATAGCTGACAAGGAGATATAAAAATTACAGGATCAACCCCTCCTCCGCCTCCCTCATGAACTTGCTCGCCGCAACTTCAAATCCGTCCAACGCATTGTCGAACGGGAACGAGACTTCGTCCTCCCCTACCTAAAAGAGACTGCAAACGCCTCCCTCTCTGGCACGCAAGATGCCACCCAAACTCTCGCCGCCCTCGACACCATGATCAACCGCATGCAAGGCCTAAAGCGAAAAATGGAAACCTTGCAGGACGAGGAGAAGAAGATCCTGACCCAGTCGCGGAAACGCATCCAGCATCTAGAAGACCTGTATAAGATTCCGAGCTTGGCGGATGTCAAGTATGAGGAGTGGTCGCGGATACGGCTGAATAGGTTATTGGTGGACCATATGCTGCGGTCTGGGTATTCGGAGAGTGCGAGACAGTTAGCTGCTGAGAAGGGGATTGAGGACCTCGTGGATTTGAGCGTGTTTGTGCAATGTCAGCGAATTGCGGAGAGTTTGGGGAGGGGAGAAACTAAGGAGGCGTTGACGTGGTGTGGGGAGAATAAAATGGGATTAAAGAAGGTTCAGGTATGTTTCCATCTGTTCTCTTTTGGCTGCTGCGGGAAAGTAACTTGGATGAACTTGAGAGTAACGGCCGACTTTGGCAGAGCAATCTTGAGTTCGAGCTACGGTTACAACAGTATATTGAGATGGTGAGGGCGGGAGATAAAACAGAGGCGAGACAACATGCCAGAAGGTTTCTATCACCCCATAGCGAGACTCAGGCGACGGATATTCGACGGGCGGCAGGTCTCCTGGTGTTCTCTCCTGATACAGAAGCGGCACCTTACAAGGTCAGTTTGAGACAAATTATTACTTGAACTGCGGTCATGCTTTGCCACCTTTGTTGAAGCTCAACAAACTAACACATCTCTCTAGGATATGTACTCTTCATCCCGCTGGCAATATCTCTCCAACCTCTTTATTCGAACCCACCATGACCTCTTAGCCCTCTCCTCACGCCCCCTTCTCCAAATAGCGTTGTCAGCCGGCCTCTCCGCGCTTAAGACACCATCCTGCCATTCAGCCTACGCATCCTCCAGTTCCAATCCAAACTCCATAACCACATCTGTGTGTCCGATATGTTCGACTGAATTGAACGAGCTAGCACGACACATGCCGTATGCACACCATACTAAGAGTTATGTTGAGAACGACCCCATCGTCTTGCCAAATGGACGTATCTACGGCCGCCAAAGGTTACTGGATATGTGTAAGAAGTCAGGTTTCGTGGCACCGGGGAAGGTCAAAGATCCGACGACGGGCGAAGAGTTTGACGAGAGGGAGATGAAGAAGGTTTATATTTCGTAGTTTTTGCTAAGATATCTATGTGTGTGTATGTTCTTATTTGTATCTTTGCGTGGCGTTCTAGGGGCTGGATGGGCTGGAATGGGGATTTATTTCCTTTTGTTTGGAGTTCCATTTAGCACTCTTATCTCAGTGGTATTCATATATTCTTAACAATTGGTATCCCTACTTATTTCTACACATATGATCATCAAAGATCTCTTCCACAAATTGATTTTCTTCATGTCTTCGAAGAAGTAGCCATTTCCAGAAACACTTCCCCAAAAACAGTTGCGAAACAGCCGGCTTCCCTCTTTCGCAAGGTATCAAATTGAAACCGAATAGACCGAATAACTGAGCCCATTAATCGCTATCATCATCGGTATTTGCCCCACCTCTGCCTTTCCCCCCTTTCTTCCTTTTCTTGCCTTCCGCACCACCACATTCTCCAACCCCTCCAGTTCCTTTCTCGAAAACATACATCCTCGCCTCCCTATCCTCGCCCCTCCATCCACCCCTTCCCGTACCGCCATTGCGCTTCTCGATTTCTCCAATCGTGCGTGCATGCGAGTAACCCGGATAACTAGCCCATGGAAACCGGAAACTAGTAACAACTCGCAGGCCTGCGTGGCGTGCTAGATCGCGGATATTCCAGAGTGTATAGGGTTCGCCTTCGAAGAGTGAGACGAGGATTTGACCTGGAGTTGTGCGGAAAGGGGATTTCTCTCCTGTCCCAGTGTTATTGTCTGTGCCAGAGCTGGAGCCGAAGTCCGAATGGGAGTCAGGCCATTCGTTATCTTCATCCCCACTCTCATCTCTCCTGCCCTGCGACGTAGTTGGTAGTACTACTGGCTCCGAAAGGAGCGGGACGCACGCCTTAAAGAATGCGACGACTAGTTCTTGGTTCGCGCGTACCTGCCTGTTTACATCTGTGCTCAAGCCGCCAACGTGAGGAAAGTTGAAGCAGATTATGTCCCATGGGCCGCCTCTGCCGGTATGTTGTTGGTGATTTTGTTGTTGTGGGGAACCAACAATGTCTTTCCAGGTATGGTGTCTTCTGCTTTTACAAGAGGAGAAAGTAGTGGTGCGAGGAAACCCATTGCGAACAGTCTTGCCACCGCCAGCAGGTCCAGAGCCCAGTTTACGGGCATCGATGGAAAACAAGACTTTCGGGACATGGTTTCGGGCGTGTTGTGTCTCTGAGGGTTTTTCTATATTTTCATTTTTCAGATTCTGACCCTCCTCCCTCGCTTCCAACTCTTTCCCCTTCTCGCTACCGCTACCTCCATCTTCAAAATCTTCATTCTCGTCGCTTTTCCTTTTCAGGCTTCTAGGCTGATACGAAGATATCTCTGAACCACACGCATAAAGCTTCTCAATATGCCGCTTTGCCTGCGGATGTTTCTCGTAAAGTGCCTGTTCACTATCGTAGCTGGTGGCAAGCAGATTTTTGCAATCGTGATGTGTTGCCAGAGACAGGGCGAATGAAAAATCTCCTGTCTGGAGATGTTAGGGATCCATGGCTTTTTACACTTGTAGAGGCGAAAATGTCCACGGAGAGCAGGTAGATAGATACGTTTCAAGCATGCTGACGACAACAGAAATGATGCAGGAATGTAAATTGAAGCAGCGAAAAAGAGACACAAGAATAGAAATGAACTAGAGCAAGAGACTCCAGGCTCCACACGCCTGTCAAACTGTGCGTAGAGAGGAGTGATACATGTTCACTTCTCCTAAGGAATAGATAGATCAGAATATCGGGAGTCTCATACATGGCTGCCTAGGTTAAACAGCTCAGAAAAACCGAATTGCAATCTGCTTGATCTGCGGAAACAATAATCCTGAATCAAGCAGCCATACATTCGACTGTATTTATCACTCGGATCTGGTGTTACGCAGAAAATGGCCTTCAAACGAATGACAAAATCGGAAAAAAGGGAAATAAAATTATAAAAATTGAAACGAATAGAATTAAAACTAACCTTCCCCAACCAACAAAATCCTATCTTCCTTTTGAAATGGAATTGTCGGGGCCCGACGCTGTGCATTCGCATGCTTCGTTTCCCGATAGGTTTTCCCCTTCGCGCTCCCGCCCCCCTGGCCCCCTTTAGACACCGCTGTCGACGTCGAGACTCTCGAGAAACTTTTCATTTTTCTAGGCCCACCCGCCCCAGCTCCAGCTCCAGCTCCTGGGGTGATAGCGGTGGAAGAGCTCCTGCTTTTGGGTCGGTCATGGTGGTGGAAATTGGCGATGCGCGGCTTTTTAGACTTGCCCATTTTTGAAATTTGATGATTTTGTATCTCCGTATGGTCACATTAAAACAACAAAAAGAGAAAATATGTTAATGTAATCATACGCAAGAAGCTTGGGGGCCTATCAGGGGGTAATTAAAACAAGGCGTGGTGGATGTACGCGAAAATCGATGGAGGTGGATTTTGATGGAAAGGTTGTGATGAGAAAAAATTAAATAAATTTAAAAAAAAAAAATCGCCAATGTTCATGCAACAGCCTATCTATCCTATAAATGGATGGAAAACCCCAAATCTAGTTAAGTCAGATATTCTAGCTATGTATATTGTATTTATATACGGGAACGCATTTTTCAAATAGCCACTTACATACAAGAGTTGAATTTAAGGAACAACCTACAGTATGGAATTAACCTACCTAAACTTCATGCACACCAGACAACACGACCGCAAGATTAAAATAAGGAAATCAACACAATATTCTCTTCACCACTCCATGGGAAGCGAACTCAAACAAAAAAAAAAGGATGGGGAAACCAGACAGCATTCTCTCTATCACCTTAGGTATATATGTACACTTGAAAGCGTCAACGAAGTAATGGAAAAAAAGCATAGTCCCAACATATATCAGGAGGAAATAGGGCATACAGAATACCAGCATTGTTCAAAATCTTTATCCCACGCGCCTCAAAGAAATAGACTTTGACACAGAAACTTTTGGAAATTGGTTTAAAACTTGAGGGATGAAGATTAGAATGCGGGAAGACATGGGAGGTGGAAACAGGTAAATAGGATAAAAAGGGATCACGAAGGCTCATTATAAAATATAGACAAACGGAATTAAAACATTACTAACCACGCACGAGGACAGCGGTTAAAACGGAAATAAAAATAGAAGGATGAAAAAGCAAAAGGGCAACAAATCCTATATTGTTGGTTACCTTTCGGAATCTTAGATCAACTCAAAGCTCGAGAGTAGGGAAGTGGAACTAATGTAACAAGATGATAGGTGTCGATGAAGTAAATAATAGAAAAGTTCCACCCAGCAAAATAAATCCAGAGAATTGGATCGCGAGCAGGCCAGCCAGGAGCAGAGGACGTATCGCGTGTGTTTGTGGCGTAAGCGATATATAAGAAATATATATGTAGGAAGTGGTGCCATACAAGAAATACTGCAGGCGAAACTGGAAGTGTTTGCAGGGTTACATACGGACCGGATTTCCTCCTCCGTTTATAACACCATTCTTTTGATTTTTTTTGGAGACAGCTGACTGCTAAAAGGCTCTAATTTTTGCCGTTGACTTTGGGGGTAAGTGGGTGGAATGATAGAGACAGGATCCGAATTCTTAGGACTTAAGCCCGTCTCTCATGCTTTGGCTGCTTGCGCTCATCGGTGGATTGGACGTGGGAAGAACGCCAATTCTAGGTTTCGAATTCTGCCTAACCTTTGCCATCGCATATACCAGACCACTGACAAAGCCAACGAAGATCGCAGAGACGCTGGGGAAGGTTACGGGGGCGTCGAAGAAGATGAGGCCGGACAAGGCAATGGGAAGTTTGTTCAGTGCTCCCACCATGGAATAAGTGGTAGATGAGGTTACTCGCACACACCATGCTGAGGTATACGAGATAAAGACGGAGGACAAGCCTGAGAAGACCATTGCCATGATAATGCGGCTGCGAGTCTCTGGAGGGAAGTTTAAGTTGATGTTTTCTGATGACCAGTCTTCCACGACAAGAGAGGCGACCAAAATAATGGGGATGGAGAGAAGATTGTTGTAGAACATGGTGTCAAAGTCCTTGAAGTTAGTCAACTTGATTCTCTTGCGCATACCAAGAACGTAGGATGCGGTGCAAAGGCAGTTGATCAACATCCAGACATATCCAGTGTTGAGTGTTGAAATTTTGCTTGTGGCATCCATGCCTACTTGTGAAAGCGCATGGTTTATGTCTGCCCACGCCGCAATGATGGAACTCAGAACCATCAAGCCAAACGAGAAAAGCACCATGCCAGTGACCGAGCCTCCAAACCACAGCACTTCGCCATACGCAATGAGGATAATAGTTAAGTTTTTGAATATGGTATATACGGGGATGGAAAGGAACTGCAAGGCCTTGGTGCCCGTATATATCATGCCGATGAGGAGGAGAGAAATTGGGAACCCTATTTGAAGTACCAGAAATTAGATACTACCTCCGCTGTAATACAGAGTGCAAAAAAAGGGGAAAATTCCCCAGTCCACACTTACATTTCTTTGCCTCATCTATATTAAAATCCCGATAGGTGATAATCTTCAAGGATTTGCACGTTTGAATTGCAGCAACGCAAACAAGGGACTAAATATAAAAGTTTGAGTCAGACAAGGCGTGGTGAAAAAAACCAAGAGAAAAAAGTGAAAAAAAAGAAGGCAATCCAAATAGAAGATAATTCCGCATACCTGGACACACAGAAGGAGAAAGTTCAAGTTAAATGAAGTCCCTGACAGAACATATTTATTTGCAACAGTCATCAAAATCGAAGAACAGCAGTAGCAAAATACGGGGAGAGCGGAGCTGTATGTGTATGAGCGTGATGAAGGGAGTCGGGGTTGCGAAGGCGGCGGAGCATCGAATCGTTTATTATTGGCATCCAACTTGTCCATATCGATGGCATAATTATCGTTCTTCTTATCGTCCGCCATTTTGCATTGATTGTCTCGAGATAGGTTGAGGAATGCGCGATGCTGCGATTAAAGGGGGCGATGGCGAGAGAAACACCCGCAAAGTCAAACAACAATACAGACTCGGAGAAAGAAGAAAAAGGAGAAATCTTAACGAAAAAAGGCGACGATCCGGACGGATGCCAAGTGAGTGGAATGAGCCTGCCGACGGGAGCGGGATCAGAGTGAAACAGCAGAGCGAAGAGAAGTTGGTTTTTTGGATTTTGTCTCGAATAGTAATTCGTTGATTCGTGGTCGAAGAACCGCAGCCAAAATTACGCATGCTCGTCCGTATTTCGCCGTGGCCTATGACGCATGTATTACACGTACGCGTATTACTCGCCAAAACTTGCCCATCCTCAGCCTCCTCTCAGCCTCCTTCACATAAGAGCTCGTTCCTCGTATCATTCTCGTACAATACATACTCGTACAATCTGGAACAATATCCCATTTTATCCCAGGAACCGTTCGCCTTGGTGCCGCAGATATTAAAGTGAAAACCTTCCATCCAAATCTAGCTCCATCACTGAATCCCCATTAAAAAAGACAATATGTTACCTAGTATGCCGTGAACATTGCCACCGGGATATGTGCCAATGAACGCCTAGAGACCATACAACTTTTCCATCAGACTAACGTCGATTCAAAGATAAACCAATGGCATTGTTTCGAAAGAATTTACTCTTCGTCCAAGTCGACGAAGTCCTCGACGCGGGAATGTTTACATCGGAATAGCTTCTCTAAGTGAGGTTGCTTAATCACTCTGATTAGAAACATGGGCACGATGACACTTTTTAGCAATTTACTCTGCCGTCAAGACTCTGCTGGTGTTCCGGCGTTGACTTCCCTAGTGTCAACAGCTGTCAACGCGTGTGTGACAGACAGTTCATGGGACAAACTTTTGAACTATTGGCAAAGCAAAACACTTGGTCTATCGATATACAATCGAACATCTACTTACTGCATTCTTTCTCGTTTTGCTGATGCTCCTAGAAGCGTGACCACACTGTTGATATAGGGCCTAGGTGACAACTTATTGTTTGGTAGTGAGAGCGATGACATCCTCTGGAAGTTTCCAGAAAACAATGAGAAAACAGGGAAACGATAAACTGCAATCATCTTCTGTCGTCCTTTTCGAGAAAAGCTCTTTAGATTCAAATGTTGAAGCTACTACATACCGCAAGATCCACACATACTCCAGCTTTACGTGGAGCGTTTTGAAACGATCAGTGAAGGGTTAAAAAAAAAAAAGTTAATTCGACGTTCCTGAAGTTCACATGTACTGTGCTATGCATGGTTCATTCAGGTTCAATACAGGCTCGCGGGCATTGCAAACGGAATATATCCACATCTACATCAAATTCAACCGCGGATATTCTGAGAATATTCTCAACAACAGTCCATTGAGGAGTGTTTCAAATCCTGGAACAATAAACGAGGGATAAGGGATATGAGAGGACTGGGAAAGGTGCTTGTCAAACAACACGAGCAGTCATGCATATATTCAGGCACTTATGGATAAAAGTAGAGGGTTTATTATGAATATATATTTATCTACAGATCTGTACATGAACATCGAATCGAACATGATGGGTTGCACTTCTGGAAATGCTGGAACCCTTACAACTAACTCCTGCTGCCAAGAACTATTGTGCCGCGGTAAGCCAAACCTAAATTTTAACGATGGGCTAGCTTAACAGCACCCTATCCATGAGCCAGCAACGGTGCTCATGTCTCCGTTTCCTTTAGCACGTATATACTTTCAAGACCAACTTCACATCTGCGATACACCTTGAACGACAACATGTTGCAAGGATGTTTGAACGATATAGCTATTGCGCTTCACCGAAACCTTTCACCACACAACGTGATGTACGGCATATTCAGTGGCTATTATGCCCTATCCCCTCGTCTGGGGGCGAGGCACAATTAGCGCGAGACGTTCTGCCGCCCTTTTCTGATTTCTGATTGGTGCGTAACTTCCACGACAAACTGATGGTTGGTTAAAAAAGGCGGCGAGGAAAAGGGCGCTAATTGTGCCTCGCCCCCAGACGAGGGGATAAGATGGAATTGTTGAATGCAAAAGTAGTGCTATGGCCTGAATGAATTGTAGTTCTCTAGTGTCATGTATGTATAGCACATATGCCATACAATTATTCTAGCCCAGTTTTTTTTTTTCTTATTTCTTTCATTCTCTGTAGAACTCCTCATCGCCCCGTATATAGGTTTTAATTCAGAACCTTGGAATGCTACATCTTATTGGCAGAGAATAAGCACCGCATCAACCAATCAAACCCTGGCCTGGCTCGATCTTTTCGGCAGTCAATAACTCAAAAATTATCTAGTTATTATCTCAGTTTCCAGTTTACAAGTTTGTTCACATTCCAGCTTCAACCAGCATCACATACATACCTCGATTTAAGATATAGGACATATAGATACCAATCCCTCTCCCCCACAAAAACCCTCCCCCATGCCCCCTAGAAAATAGTCCCTACATAGAAGAGGCTATCTTCCTCCCCCCTCCAACATGCCACCCCGCAACCACGACCTCCCCTCCGATGAAGATGACAACGACGCCCTCTTCGCCGCCCTCGAAAGAGAAGAAGATAACCCCTCTTACAAAGCCCAGCGCATCGAACAGCTGCAATCAGAACTAGCGGCCCGCGCCCAACAGCAACAAGAACAACATCAAAAGAACAGCAGCAGCAACAGCAACAAACTCGACGATAATAATAACGCCACAACTTTCCAAAACACCCTCGTCCCCACACTCCCATCCGACCAATCCCTCCTCGACTTCACAACCCGCCACCCCCGCTGCGTCATCCACTTCTCCCACCCGGACTTTGCGCGCTGCGCTGTGATGGACAGACACATCCACGCCCTCGCAGGCCTCCATCACGAGACCCGCTTCGCGACCGTGGATGTTCGCAGGATACCATTTGTCGTGGAGAAGCTAAAGGTGAAGGTGCTGCCGTGCGTGATTGGGTTTGTGGACGGGGTGGGTGTGGAGAGGATTGTGGGGTTTGAGGGGCTGGGGTACGGCGGGCGGCACGACGCTGATGAGGAGTTTCGGTCGGGAGAGCTGGAGAGGAGGTTGTTGCGGCGGGGTTGCTTGGTTAAGCGGCGGATTGGGGAAGGGGATGAGGTTGGGAGTGACATTGATGGGGAGGAGGAGGAGGAAGTTCGGAGGGAACGGGGTGGAAGAGGGATCAGGGGTGGGGTGAGGAGGGGTCGGGAGGTTGGTGATGACGATGATGGCGATGATGATTGGGATTGAGAAGGATGCTAGTTGTTTATGGATTATTTGTGGGAATTTGGAGATATACTCATGTGGATGTGAGCAGTATTCAATGCTTTCGGACGGCGTTACTGGTCATTCATAAGCGTCTATTTTACTTCCCTGCGGCCATTCCGAAAGACATATATCAAGGATATTCGAATGGATGCCATTGGGTAGCCTGATTTGTTGTAGTCAACCGTGGCATTTTTTTATTTTTTTAAATAAATTGTCTGCTATTTCGGATCTGCTATTTCCCAGCCTGCCAGGCTAGCTGTTGACCTGGTGGGAAGTTGACGATGCACCCCTTTGACTGGGAACCCCTCCTTCGCACAATCGCACGCCCTGCAGCCACTAACTAGCCTTGTCATATTTTGGAAGACGAGAGGGAGTCTCAGTTTTGAGCGGGCCGGAAGACGCCTATCGCGAGGCCAATAAGGAAAGGAGAGGAATCGAGAGAATGCAGACGAAACCAAGGAAGCGAGACAGCCATTATTACTATTCTGGCTTCCATGTAAACCAATGCTACGATAACCATGATAACATGTATAGTATATGCCTCCGAATGCATTGAATGAATAAGATATGCATATACCTGTCTCAGAGTATGGACAAAAAGAAAGAGGGTAGGCACTATTTCCATCTAACAACATAAATAACCTGGCAAAAAGAAGTAGGAGAATAGAAGCAGCAGAAATGAAAATAGCACTTGTTAGATATTCCTAGTACTCATAGAGTATATATATATACCAGGAGGGACCATCCGACAGCAAAGAGGCAAAGAAAATAAAATATATGTTGTCAAATGTTAAATAGTTAACTATACATACGTAGCATACATGATGCGAATGGCGAGGTGGGAGCTAAAGGAAGGGGGAAACAAAAGGCTGACTTGAGATATAAGAAACAACACGGTGAGAACAGCATATGTACACACTTTATTATCCGGGAGCAGAAGTTGTCGAACGAGGGAGGATGGATGCACCAGAGATTCGGTGGGGGCTGTGGATTGGAAGAGTTTGAGTACAAGCCATACAAACCGGCGCACAGATCTGTAATGATTAAATTGTTGCTATGAAAAGAACGAGAGAAACACTGAGGACCGCAGGTTTACAAAAAGTAAGAGAGAGGAAGGGAGCGAGAATTTACAATTAGGAAGAAAGAAGATAAATTAGTACAGAAAAATGCTATGCATGAATGCTCCGAGTTTTTGGCAATCATGAAAAAGCTTTGGGAATGAGATGTGTCTGAGAAGAAAGAAAGGCAAGAGAGAAGATGGACGAAGGAACCGAAACGAAGGCATAAATAAAAGAAAAGAAAAGAAACGCAGGAACCTTAAAAACAAAAATGGGGGAACGAGCGGGAGAGAAGTAGCTATGAGTATAAAACAAATAGGCAAAAACAGTTATGTTCTATA